GGGATGAAGAAAATGCACTAGTTGAGACTGTGTGTGAGAAGGACCTAGGTGTGTATGTTGACAATGAGCTGAAGTTCTCGGGCCATTGTGAGAAGAAGGTAAACCAGGCAAATAAATTATTGGGTCTTATAAGAAGGTCGTTCAGATATCTAGACGGTCCGTCCCTCGTGACGATCTTCAGGAGTGAAGTGCTTCCCAATCTGGAGTACTGTCACCCCATCTGGTCCCCGAGATATGCTAGGGACTGTCAGTTGGTTGAAAATGTTCAAAGGAGGGCCACCAGACTGGTGCCTGCACTTCGGCACCTCAGCTACCCTGAGAGATTGGAGCGCCTGAACTTGCCTAGCTTATACTACAGACGGGCAAGGGGGGACCTAGTTGAGGTGTATAAGCATCTCAGGGGGCACTACTCAGTTGAGTGTCCTTACTTGGAGCTGGTGGACGCTCGCCCCACAAGGGGTCACAGCTCAAGATTGAAGAAGCCGCAAGTCCAGAAAACCGTGAGGGCAAACTTTTTCGGAGTGAGGGTTGTAAACTCTTGGAACAATCTACCAGAGAGTGTTGTGACGGCAGCGAGTGTGAGCTCTTTCAAGACAAGACTTGACCAACACTGGAGCGGGTTCAGGTACATTCAGGAGCCGGTGCATGCCCAGTACTTGCCAACAGTGCGTGACAGAGACGTGACCGATCGCCCAAGCGGCTAACAAGCCGATCAGTGGCGAAGAGGATAAAAGTAAAAAAAAGTAAAAAGTAAAAAGACAGTACTCCAGATGGGGAAGCACTTCACTCTAGAAGATCATTACATAAAACTAAATACCACAAATATTACTTTTACTTCACCATTGATCGGCTTTTAACTACTTGGGCGATCGGTCACGCCTCTGTTACGTACTGTTGGCCAGTAATGGGCATGCACTGGCTTCTGAATGTATCTGTACCTGCGCCAGTGTTGGTCAAGTCTGGTCTTGAAAGAGCTCACACTCGATGCCGCCACAACACTCTCTGGCAGTGTGTTCCAAGAGTTCATAATTCTTACTTCGGATACACAACTCATACCTCAGTCCCACAACACCCACTCATGCCTCAGTCACACAAGACACAACTCATACCTCAGTCATACCATTCATGCCTCAGTCACATCACCCATGCTTCAGTCACACACCCAGTTGCAATACATTTTGTTTTAAGGCCAAAAAGTTTCTGAAAAGGCCAAGATGGTTTTGAAAGGCTAAAACTGATAATCCTGGTAACACTGATTTACTTATTTCTCTCAGACAACTTAAAAGAACAAGATATATCTCAACTTCCCAAAAATTATTCTAGAATTATTAAATTTGATCGGATTAGATTCAATATAAGTTGTCTGCTTGAACAAAATATTAATTATGTACATCTTATATGTGGTGGTGTAATATTCCAACATAACGTGACTGACCAAAACAATAACAACACCGATCAGTAACTGTGTCGGGTGTAAGAGACTTGCAGTGGTTAATGACCTTGTTACCTGCTTAATCACCTGATTTGTAACATTAGTAATATCATCAAATAAATTTAGAACACACATGTCCTTAAAACGTTGGGATGAGACCAATTGACGGCTCTTCAACTGCAGCACCGTAGTTCCATTTGACTGAGGTAAGGACTATGGGGTAATATCTATCCAGTGGTTAATAGTCCGTTTATGAACCTTTATTTGCTTCTGGTTGGTTGAGGCTGATGGTGTGGGGATTTGGAGAGAACGGAGACCAGCTGGGTTAAGAGATGCACGAGTCAGTATGTGAAGAAGATAGCAAGGAGTAGCCCAGGAATGACATAAGGAGAGGTTGTAAGATATGATCTAAGAGACAAGAACCTGTTGAGAGGCTGTAAAAGTGGATAACTGCCATTAGGTAATCACAAAAACACATGGAACTTGGCTCTGCAATGATAATGATGAATGTGTGTGTTAACTCCAGTTTTTCTTTTCAGATGCCACAGCAAGCACAGACAATGGCAAGCGTACGACCTGCCGCTGCTGGACGACAGACTCTGGCCCCGAGCCGTAGCACTGTTTATGTATCCAATTTGCCCTTTAGTCTTACCAACACAGATCTACACAAAATATTCGAGAAGTTTGGAAAACTTGTGAGGTAATATGAAAATAAAATTATACTGTACAGCTCACACAACAGGGGATGGGCACAGCTCTGGTTGATTGATTGATTTATGGAATTTAGGCTCAAAGCCAAGCACTGGAGCTAATAGGCTATTCAACACCAACACAGCTCTGGTGATCCTGTTGCCATCAGGCTTGTTGAAGCAAATTTTATGGAGTGGATGTCGTTCCTAACAATAACCCATAGGGTGCGAATAAACTGGCAAGTCTTGGTTGCAACTCCCTAGAATGGCCTAGATCATCTATTTTGGGTAAGGGAGTAATTCCTAGATCGAGTATCTTGGAGTATTATGATGTCTCCTGTCCCCACTATTCTAACTGGCCCAGATATATAGCCATAGTAGACCAGCACGATTAGAGTAATGAAAGGATTGGTCTGTAGTCCTGTTTTGTACATGTGGTGAAAGAGGGCGATGCATGTACAGTAGCTAAAACAACTATCTGTGCATGTGGGGGGTTGATATGCTCCAAAATTTTACGTGTGACAGCCCTCATATACCAAAATTTATCGTCCGTGGTCTCGTACTGTTTCCCACAAAGTATGCACAGATAGTTGTTTTAGCTACTGTACCTCCTCCTCCCAGAGGTAGATGAGTGTACTGGACACTGAAGTGATGCTGTGCCTGGTTTTCTGACTGAGCTTCAGAACCTTAAAGGATCAAGGAACACACAAGTGTTTACATAGCAGTGAAGACTTACAGCCTGTACTGCACTGTAATGTATCTTTATACCAAGTGTTTGTTTTAGTACAGTATTGAAATTTTGGGATGAAGGTGAAGGACATTCAATTTTTTTGTAATTTAAAACCAATTTTTTAGACCTTAGTCAAGTTTTGGGTCCTTATGAACTTGGTAGTTTGCCCTGTAGACAAGTTAACTAGAGTAAAGAGTCATCCTTTCCTGGTTTGGTTAGAAAGCAAAATTCGAGTGTCAATCCTTTTATTTTTTCTGACTATTTTATACCTAACAACTGCTGTGCATGATCTGGCCATCTATCACAGCCCTTATTGAGCCATATACTGTACTGTTCAACTACAATTTTAGTCTTGTAAGGTAAAAGTTGCCAGGTCCAAGTCTCTTCCTGATGGTGTGTTGTACTCACAGTGTCCAGTTTGTATTACTTAAGTTGGAGTTAGGAGTTAATAAGATTGTAGTCTGCATTGTTGAGGAGTGTTGTTAAAGGAAGTTTTCAAAGGGTATTGAGTTTGGATTTGAATTGATCCAAATTTGTGTGAATGTTTTGTGTCATACAAAATTTGGAGTTTACATTAGAGAACTTGATATAAGTCTCACGGTGATAAGTTGTTGCATTTATTATATAATTTTGTTGTTCAAGTATAGAATTGATAGAATTATATATCTTGCAGAGTCACAGTTCTTCGAGATCAAGATCGAAAGAGTCGTGGTGTTGCCTTCATGTTGTTCTTGAGTCGTGATGAAGCTCAAGCCTGTGTCCGAGGTACAGACGGCTGCAAGATGTTTGGTCGCACTCTGAAGGCCAGCATCGCCCGAGACAATGGCCGAACTACAGAATTTATCAGAAGAAGAGAATATCCTGATAAGTCGAGGTTAATTTTCACACTAAGTATTTTGGTTTTAGGTCATTACATATAATTTAAGGAAAGGAGGATAAAATAACCTAATCTAACCAATTATTGTCCTCCACTTGGTGACTCCCATGTTAATCACACACCACGCCAGTTCATCATTAACATACTATATGGCTGGAGATGATTCTTATAGTTATACAGTACTGTATATTTTTCCCTCTCATAATTATAAAAAAAAAAAAAAATTGGAGATTGTCAGTGACTAATTACTACCATCCTTACCTATCTTGAGTTTCAGGTACATGCAGTCAGTGCCCGATACTCGTATACTGTACGAAGGTTCCGTTTATGAAAGTCCGAAGTTAAAAAGAAAGACATTTTGTACTGCACTATACTGTATCGTGCAGTCTTCATGTATATTACGTATTTCACTTAAAACATTTATTATAGGCTTCAAATCATTATCTGGGGTCTGTACATGTAGATGCTGGAGGTAGGGGGTCTTGTGCCTTAATGTGTCACTCGTGTTGCGAGTAGTGTGATGAATACCATTTTCTCAGTTATTAAGAGTTATTTGCTAAGGTTAAAAGATTTATTCTCAAAGAATTCATTTTTGTATGTTGTATCACTTTTATAACCTTATTTTAGTCAATTATTTTTCTCCCTAATGTCCTTGTCACATGGCAATAGTTTACAGCCTTGAGTTTAATTCCTGCTATGGAATGATGGATTGTATCCTCTAGTAGTACTGTTGGGCTGTGTGTGATGACTGCTCACAGGTTCACTGTCAACCACAGCATATATTAAATGTCTCTGTTCTTTATTTTCCAAAGGCCTTTACATTATGGGTAAAATTAGTGTATGGTTTGGTTTGCAGGTGTTATGAATGTGGGGAGGCTGGACACTTGAGCTACACCTGCCCTAAGAACCTCCTCGGGGAAAGAGAACCAACAAAGAAAAAATCCAAAAAGCGAAGGGAAGAATTTGGGCAGGAGGGAAATAAGTCCCAGAGATTAGACATTGGTGATGTTGAAGACGAGGAAGAGGAGGAAGATGACAGAAATTTTGAAGATGAATCTCTGAGTGGAGCCATTAGATACCAAGTATGTTTTTCTATAGTATTAGTTAAATTATTTTCTATAAAAGTTTGCTATTATTTTGTATTAGTATGTGCAGAAGTAAAACCCAATCTGATTTCTGGGTCACAAGAAGTTTTATCACAACCTGATTAGAATCTTGCTGGTTAGGTTGTTGGTCTTCCTTCTGTGTTAACAAGGTCCTCGGGTTTAACAGGTACTCTACTGTATAATTATCTTACTGCACTGCTTCCAACTTAAAGAAGCAGTTATTCATCCTTGTTCTATTCAGTCAATGCTATTGCCTAATATACATTTCCAAAGCAATTGTAATACTAACCATATCAGGGGACATAATTAGATAATAGGAACTGGCAAAAGTGTGTACCTGCCATCCTCTGGGAATACTCAGTAATTCACTTCATCTTACCTAAGACCTAACATAACCTTCACTCACCATCCACATTGTGTTGGACAGACAAATTGACACGTTAAAGAATTCTTATTTTAGGATTGGTGTTCAAAATCAAATAAGTAGGTACCCAATGACCCTCACAGCCAGTTTTCATGCATGAAGACTGAAAAGTGTTGCAGTAATCAGAGGCCATGATACTGAACCAAAATGTCTGAATATTAGGCTTCAATATCTTTTCAAAATTCAACCTAGGTTTGCCATTGGCGAGGGTTTTGACCATTTTGTTCTTGAAAATCCAATCCCTATGAACTACTAATCCTTGAAATACAAACTTGAGGGTTAATGGAGACAACAGGAATAGGGACGTTCAACTTTAAAAAGACATCACCCTTTTTTTTACCAAACTTTATCCCTCATCATGTTTGGGCATTGTTTTAGCTTATGTATTTTCCTGAGGAAAAACAGTTTTTGAGAGCATATAATGATTTAGTTTCTTGGAAAAGATTGTTATGAGATCATGAAACTTACTTTAAATAATACAGGTTGAACCTCACTAGTCTGGCAAGCTTGAGACCAGACTGGTGTTGGCCTATTGATAATTCAGAACCACCGAAGTTCACCAATTTCTTCCTAAACTTCCCTTCTAGCAAGAACTACGGGAGGCAGAGGCATTCCAGAGCAGAGTGGCTACTGGGGAGTATTTTAAGGGCGAGTCACAGGTCCACAAGACAAAGATAAAGCAGTCAACTTACTTCAGTGATGAAGAGGAATTAAGTGACAGCTGAATTACCAAAGAACATTGCATAGATATACATGCAATGTAATATAAAGGTTTTGACAGTACAGTACAGTGGTCCCTCGGTTAACGAGCACAATTCGTTCCAGAAGGTTGCTCGTTAACCGAAAAATTCGTTACCCAAAACCAGTTTCAATGGGTTTTTGGGTAATTGGTTCCAGCTCACCGAAAATTGCCTAAAGTCAACAAAAATGGTAGTAAAGTACACTTACTTTGAGGTGTGTATGTAGAAGGTTCCTGGATGATGATGATGATGTGAATTTGAAGTGGGAGGTGGAGGAGGAGAAGAAAAGGAAGTGAGGGTGGAGGAGAAGGGAGAAGAGAAGGCATTGGGGTGGAAGAGAAGTCACTATGCCGCCATTTCGCCCATAAAATTTTAGTTCATTTGGTGTAATTCAAGATTATTTTCTTTAAATCAACACTGCACTGCATTATATATTGTCAATATGTAAAATAAACTTCAGAAAGACCAATAATGTGACTGGAAACACCGAAAAATGCGTTTATGTTGAAGAGAGTCTAAAGCAAGATGTTACCTCCACTGAAAAGACAGAGACTGACGCCTGTATGGTGTGTTGACAGGCTGTTTGGCGCGCTAAAAACTAGTTTCCCTGTACAGTCGGCCCTTAACATACGCCGGGGTTAGGTAACAGAGATACCCGTGAATGTTAAGAATCCGCGTATTTTTTGCTGCCGCCCCCCCCTCTAAAAACACCCCTGGCTCCCCATGTCCTTATTTACCATATATACCTGCAAGTAGTTCGAGTTTTTATGACCCAATTTTTTGGCCAAAAATTGGGGGTCGACCTCTAAACGGGTACCGGTAATAGTTTTGTTAGGTTGAAAAATATTTACCAGTAACTACCAGTAAACAAAGGAAACAACGCACCACCAGCTGGGAGTGTCGGTACAGTTGCCAGGGCAGATCTCTTGCGTCATCATAGCAAGCCCAAAGTACAGGACAATGTAAAACAAAGTATTCATTTTTTAAAGTTTATTTATAGATACATAAATTTTTGTTCACTACATTTGAAACATCAATCTTTGTTAATTAAGTTTGAAACAAAAGAAAACTACGATACCGTATTTCTAAATACCAGGTATTTTCATTAAAATATTACATCACAAGTATATTTTACCTTAACTGTGACTGAATGAATATATTCTCAGAAATAAATATGGAAATGTAATATTTTTGCTGAAATGCCGTACGTATTACAGTGGAAAGTAGGATAAAATCATGACGAAAACAATGACTTTCGCTTTCTTTCGTTGTTCAAAAGATTTTACCGTAATCGCTTTTCGAATGGTTTTCAGTTAAAAAAACTGTTGTTTCACAAGTGAATTAGGATAGAATATTGTAATACAACAGTTTTTTAACTGAAAACCATTCGAAAAGCGATTACGGTAAAATCTTTTGAACAACGAAAGAAAGCGAAAGTCATTGTTTTCGTCATGATTTTATCCCACTTTCCACTGTAATACGTACGGCATTTCAGCAAAAATATTACATTTCTATATTCTCAGAAATGAAAGTAGTTTTGCTGAAACGCAATGTATTTCAATGTAAATTAGGATAAACTACATGAAAAAAGACTTTACCTAACCTTCCGATGTTCAAGATATGTTACTCGTTTTTTTAATAGTTTTCGGTTAAAATACTGTTATACTGTATTAGTGATATTCAATTCATACTGTGCTTGATAGAATACATTCACGGAAATGTAATATTTTTGCAACTACAATGCTGATGTCAACACAAGCATGGTTACAGCGAGACTGACTGACTGAGGGAGCGCAGGAACGCGGGGTGGCGAGGGCTCTGTGTGCGTGTGCGTGTGCGTGCGTGCGTGCAATTTGAATAATGTATATTCCTTTGAATGTATATTCCTCCAGCGGCAATCCGCGTATTTGCAATTCCATGTAAGTTAAACCCGCGTATGTTAAGGGCTGACTGAACTTAAATTATGTTAAATAATTGTTAAAATGACTAAAAAAATTAATGTAAGATTTTTAAAATTATTGAATAGTACAAAATTCTTGATATTTACTAAAATAGTAAGGAATTTAAGCCCTAGAACCGATTACCGTATTGGCGGACTAATACGACAGCTATTGTGCAAGCGAAAACATGTTGAGGGGCTCTCGTAAGGAATTTGTTAATCGAGGGATTGCTCGTCAACCGAAGTTAAGAATCTTATGGAAGGTAATTCGTTAACCAAGGCGCTCGTTAACCGAGGGATCACTGTATTCAGATAATTAATTAAACTAAGGATTTGCAGGAAACAAAGCTATATTGTGTTTGATATATGAGGTGTTTAGACTAACAAGGGAGTATCACAGGATTGTTTGATTTTCCCTTTTCTATATTTCTCCATATCCCCAGTATTTTTCTCAATAGATAATGATATCAGGTAAGGTGGATACACCTCCAGAGTGGTACAATCCTCATAATAAAAAAGGGGCAAAAAACATGCAGTGCAGCCATAAAAATTGAGTCGAGTTGATGAGATAGACATACACACACACCCTGGCTACTCTATACACCTCATTTATATAAACTATGTTAGTGGATGTAAGTTGTAGTGAAATAAAGAATAATTGATTTCATTCTATCTTTGTTTAAATTTATCATTATATTCTCCCATTCCTGTCGAAGGGGGATAGAAAAAGTATACTGTACTTTGTGTTTAACGATTAAAGTACATCCAGAATAACACAAAAGCACCAAAAAGTGTCATTGAAAATCCATAGGTGGCAAATAATTAGCATTGCAGTAATAATTAAAATTTTCAGTTATTACATGTAGTAATTATGCAATTATCAAATTTTTAAACATTGAAAAGTTATTCAAAATTTTACCGACATGTTAAGATTACAGTACAGTATTTAGAAATAATTACATAGACGCATACGTACTGTACAGTATTGAAAGGATTGAAAACCAAAGTCTTTGAAAATGTTTATGGTTGTATTTGATTAGACAATGTAATGCACATCTAATTCCACAGACAATTATACCTTAAAATATGCATACAGTACCTGTCTATTCAAGGAACAAACATATAGAAATCAGAACACTAAAACAAAAACATTAATAGATTATAGCATGTACGTATAATAATAATCATTTAAATAAATCAGTGGTCCTTATCCTAGAGGAAGGGAGGTGGTGTTTCAGTCTCTCAGCGGGCACAAAGGATTGAACACATTTGTGACTCGGAACAAATATTCCCAATGAAATTAATTCATAATTAAAAAATTGGTGTGGCAACATAGGCCAGGGAAAACTTGCCATTCATTAATCTCAGTCTTATCTTTGTGTAGTATTGCAAGTGATGTCATTCTATATCGGGTACCCTACGATGGTGATACAATACAGTACTGTACAGTGAAATCTAGATTTAACAAACTATGTGGAGAGGAAATTCCATTATATCGAGGGTCCGTTTGATGTGAAACCTTCATCCAACCGATTATATGGAAAAAGAAGTCCGTTATGTGGAGGTTTGATTGTATGACTTTTTTGGAGATTGAGAATAAGTAATGGAAAGGCAAACATGAAAACGAAAAATGATATGCGAAAATAATGCTGGCATTTGTATTCTTATCACAGCTGCAATTTTGTTTAACTGAGCTAGGACAATGTTACCATAGTATGGGGGTTCCCGATTTATTTTAAGCACTTCCAAAATACCTGTAGATATATATGGTGGTCAGGCAATCCAACTCTGTCAACTCAACCCATCCCCGGTGAACCCAACCCCAGTTAACCCAACCCTAGTCTACCCAACCTCATCAATCAAACCCTGTTCTACCCAATTCCTGCCAACTCAACCCCTTTTTGTTTATTTAGGTCTAGAAAGGCAATAAAGTCAGTGGAACTTGAACACAAAAAAAATAGGTTGTTAGACTCTTTGGGGATTGGGGGGAGGGGTGGGTAGTGGCGCTATGGAATCAAGTTTGATCATAGGGGTGGGATGGGTGCAGCTCCACAGGGTTAAAAACCACTGAATTAGATCATATCTTGTTCACACTCTTTGGTAACCATTTCTATAAGAAAGTTATGGCTAGGTAGATGCTGACCTCCAGTAAATCATTATTCAACCTATGTTTAGTCTTATACAGAGGTTCTTGTTCACCATTACAAGTAGCTGTACAGTGAAACTTCCCTCTAATGAACTATATAGAGATGAAAGTCCTTTATATCGAGGGTCCATTAGATGTGAAACCCCCCCATCTATCGGATTATATGTAGAGAGAAGTCCGTTATATAGAGGTTTCACTGTACATCTGAAGTTATTCAGTCACTTCTATGAAAATGTGAGCATGAAGATACTTGTAAGTCACAGAAAAGTGTAATACAGTTCTTAAAGCTATGAACTACAAGAGGCATCACTCCCCAGGCCAGGTGTGGTATATTGTACTGTTATTTATATTATATTAAGTCATTACTGACCGTGCTCATAAGCTAACCTTGCTACTAAAAGCTAATTAACAAATTTGATTGACCATCACATTGTCTAGTACAGTAATACTACAGGTCTCATGTACAGTAATGCCATGATTTTGTAGCAGATATATGATTCATCTCGATCAGGGGTCACCAAACTATGGCCCGCGGGCCGGATCCCAAGTCCTTCCCCGGGTCGTGGTAGCTCCGCCTACGCTCTGACGTTACCAGAGCTTTCGTTCTGGCTTGCAAGTATTGAACAGAATGATTATGCTCGTCATTCTTTCAGTTATCCGGCCCACTGTGAAAAAAGTTTGGTGACCCCTGATCTAGAGAATACTGTCTCTTGATGAACATTATAATCACTTATTACTGAACACAGAATATAACATTTTATTTTCCAAACCATAGGAAAACACATTAACCTTGTAAACTAAGTCCATTAAACCAGTCAGTTAGCCAACTCACTTCAGTAACACAGTATCACAAGTTACTGTATGTCACTATCATCCAAATGTACAGTACAGTTAAAGGCTACTTCTGATAGTGGATTTTTATCTTTAGCTTTTTTTACAGGTCATAGTTAATTAGAATAAGAATTATGAACAAAGTTACAACAGGTCTTTGTTCTAACAACTATTGTTACCCCTGTGTCTTTGTCTTCAAGAGGAAATTAGGTTCTGACAAAATCACCGATTCCAATTTCCATATATGATTGAATGAATGTCCTTGTATGACAGTGAGCTAATGGGTAAGCTGGCTGTAAATTTGGTTATAGCTATGTGGAGTTTTTGGAGGTACTGCACACACAACAGTAGATAAAACAAATGCATTAGAGATCAACCTTTAGTTATCATTAATCAGCTGGTATGCTTGTGATCCATAAAGTCTTTTTAATGGCCTTAATACAACAATGTTACAAGAGACTTAGTAACTCCAACACTTAACTTCAACCCGTGTACAGCCACCGGCTGCAACTCTATTAATAAACCGTCTACAGTATTATTATTATTTATTATTTAAATGAAAGGTTCTGTGCTATACTGCTTACATAGTTGCAGTGTCGTCAGCTGACTGGCCCATTAAAAATCTGCAATGATTACCCAAAATATACACCCAACAATACTCGCATTTTATATCCTTACAATTTCAGTCTATTGAAAAGCTCCCAAAAAATTTCCAGAATTTTACAAGAAATAATTTTTCTAAAATGAAGGAACCAAAATAAAGCACACCTGACTAAGCCAATATCATGATGGGAAAAATTGACACAGTTATATGCAACCTCTTCAGTACAGTGCTGCTAAAGTTGGAGAGGCCAACTGTAGTGATAAAGGGTGAGGTTGTGTTAGGGATTTACAGTACCATATAGGTTAAACTTATCAGTGTTTTTTTTCCACCTGGATCATATCTACTGCTCAGCTACTACCCAAACATGGTTTCACCTGTACCATATCACAAGTCACTTTAAAGGTACAGCATAGGGACGGATCCAGGAATATCAAGGGGGAGTCCGGACCCCCCAGGAACACCCCTCCAAAGTACTACCATTTTCCTTGTAAAATTTGTAAGTCTTTTAATTTTCATCAATTTTATTATTTTTAAGTAAACCCAAACCATGCTACTGTACTATCACTATTGAATACACTTACCTTACTGTGTAACATAACGGGTGCATGCCACAGGTTTAGCAGTGTCTTGTTTACAGTTCTTAAAGACGAACGTTTTCTGTGAGGTGATGGTGCTGCAGACATCTGTCACAATTGTTGGAGTGACCTTAAAAGGGACCAAACATTATTTAAAAAGCCAATTGCAATTTCCACAATCATGGTTTCAAATTACAGTATTGCATTACTGTACACACAGTACAGTAAGAGTAAAATGTACTGTGATGTACGGTACTGTACAGACTGCCCTAACTTCTTCTTTGGCCTGTACAGTGCTGTACTTGGTGGTGGTGAATGTGGGACCAATACCAGGAGGTTATTTCTATAGAATTTGTAATAACAATAACAATAATAATGTGTGAATAAAAGTACCATTTAGTGGTGTGGGTGAAGGATCTATGATGGAGAATGGGCAGGTGCTGCCTGTATGATGGGTGTTGGGAGTATATCAGTAACTTGGTGAAAGGAGGGACACTATACAAGAGATGTATAGGTGAAAATTGCAAATTCAAAATGTTGCCAACCTAAGTGTGTACTGTACTGTGTTGCATGTGCAGGTAATCACGTGGCCTCAGCAAGACTGAGAAACTTCAACATTGGGGGATACATCTCTGGGTTGTATGAATAACATCTGCTACCAGGATGAGATGATGATGGACAGAGGCGGTGCTAAAGCTAACTCACAGTACTTATCATAAGGTTTAGAACATTAAGAGTACTCACCACAGTGTAAGTGGATTTGACTTCAGTGTCATTAAAGAAGAAGCCCACCTTCCAGTAAGCCTGGTTTAGGTCAGGGTTGTACCTCAGCCTCACCCAGATCCCAAAATCATCAATAACTGTGGATAAGCAATTTACGTATTATTACTATCTGGCGAACAATCTTGGTGTTGAGAACAAGTGACAAGTTTACAAACTTGGTAACAAATGATATGGAAACAAAATTGTGGGACAAATGACATAAAAACCAAAGACCCGTCTGTGTTGGGTAGGTCGGGCATGGATGGCACATGTTGAAACTGAAATTTGTGCATAATTGAACGACAGAAATTGGGCATTAAGTAGACCATGAGGAATATTATTTTTGTTAAACTTGCATATAAAGTTGACAAACATATTCAGTTCACCGAGGTGGTATGACAGACTACTGGTAGCTACCTTGAAGGAATTTCTCTTGCATTAGATGAGTGTACAGTATAGTACAGTACAGTACAGTACAGTACAGCACAGCACAGTAAGCATTCCAAGGTTTGACATTTGTTGCTCCTTGTAATTCACAGCAGGGTTCTCATTACATACACATCTATGATTCATGGTATGGTACACAAATTTGACTCTTTGTAGATTCAACCCGTGACATATCATTAGATTCAGTGGACAAATATGAACAGAGGTAGTATGTCTTGTTTAGTATCTTGCACATTACTGATCCTTGTACAGTAATGTCTCTCAAAGAATAGGTCATATCTGTAAATGTTCAGACGAGTATTACCACATAAAAGAATAATACTCTTCCATATTATTACTGGAGTATTAAAACAAAATCTTAAGTAACTGGCATGATACTGTACACTTCAACATTACTTTCCACAACACCATCAAACAACATTGAATTTCAGGTCTTAACCTCGCTTCAAGTCTTATAATGACAAATTTTGTCAAATTTAGCCGTAACTTCTTCAGTGTTATGTGGACTGTTCAGAGCCAAGACACCTTTTCAATGATGGACAACTGACAACCATTTGTTTAAGATATAGTATGAACTCTCAGATGTAATACTCTAGTCACCTGTGGGCTGAATATGGTGTTCGGGCACTTTGCTTTCTTATTATGTGCAAAAGAAGCCACCCAAATAATCAACAGTAATGCTTTTATTTCTGTCATCCTTGCCACCGAGGATGACACCGAGGTTCTACAGAACCTCTACCTACCAAAACTAAAGTTTTACTTCCTGTCTGGCACACTGTGAAAATCTCTGCAACAAAGTATTTATCATGTGTCATATAACTTCAATCAGTTCAAATCATCCTATAATGCTTAAAATATCTTCAATCTTCAGTAAGGGGACATTTTATTTAGCCATTAAAAAAGTTTTGCCAATCCTCTGAACTCTTACGGAATACTGTACAGGTAGTTCTGCTATAACGCGATAATTGTGTTCTTGTAAAATATCGTGTTATAGAAAATCGCGTAATAGAAATAACAGGGCTTATGGAGAAAATAGGGTTAGGTGCAGATTACTCGAAATCGAAAAAATTTAGTAGTTAGCCTAACACAAAAGATAGCACAGTCTAAATAAATGTTACATTCATATCTAATAATGAAATCATACAGTAAATGTAACACTTTACTTGATGGGGGAGAAGGGTGATTTTGAGGTTGATAAAATCGAGCTTCTCTTCAAGTGTTATATCCTTTCTTTTACGATCATCACCGGGAATTCTATCAGCAGAATGCTTCTTGTTGATATTCTTCTTTACTATATTCACAGTTAATACAGTGGGGTATGCTATAACGAACGGATCCTACTTTTTTACAATTTTTACAATTTTATATTATATTTTTCAGTGTTAAGTGGTTGTATTTGGGGGCCTGGAACGGATTAATCCTATAACGAACGAATGCTATAACGAACAAGGTTCTAGAACCAATTAGATTCATTATAGCATACCCCACTGTACCACAAAATTGGAGAAATAGTAAGCAAAAATCGCGTTATAGCAAACAAGCGTTCGCGTTATACAAATATCGTTCCTAATTCATAAATCGCGTTAGAGCAAATTCGCGTTATCAAAACGCGCGTTATAGCAGAACTCACTGTACCATCACATCAACCATCCTTCTTTCAAACATGCTTCATCTCATAGCCTCATCCCGTTGTGTTGCCAAACCAACCTCCATTAGTGTCTGATGCTATAAGTCCATCAATGAGCTCCGTTGTATTAAGAATGGCCATGGATCCTCCCTCACATGCTGTCTTCATACCTGCTATTGCTCCACTTGATAGGGTTTGGTTGGATATGTACGGCTGCAGAACTTGCTGCACTGCAAGATAAAACATGGTGACTTTAAGGGTTTTCAGAAGTGTTTGTTGTCCTAAAGAAAATATTTACTAAATACTATAAAAGTAGGCTCTCGCCAATAACGTTTAATTGGTGCCTGAAAAACGCCGTTATTAGGGAAAACGTTATTTGTGTGACATTAAAATACATGTAAAAAGGGTTTATTGGTGCCGCTGCCCCAAGGATTTCACCCAAATTTTTCCCCTTAGAAGCCCTCCTAACACCGTTTGCTGAAATAAAAAGAATTTTTATTCAATCATCAAAATAAAGAGTTTGAGTAATATAATGCTTAGCTTGGGGGAGTTTTTGAGGTGCTTGGTGTGATGATTGTTCCATATCTGAGGGCCGCTAACACTTGCACTGTCTTTCATTCTACAAGCTAACCATTTCACAAGAAAATGCTCTGTTATCACAAACAACCGGTTTCTATCACTTTTATCATTCATAGCACGCCTCGCATTTCCATCACTACCGAAATATTTCTCAGCCAGCGCAATACTTACTCTTCTTGGTCTCCTCTAAGTTCCTCTTAATATTTCGCACTGTAGACTCAGGACAGTTCAATTTCCTCACAATATCAATGTTCCGTGCACCACTTTCAATGAGCTCAACAATCTGTTCTTTATCCTTGACTGAGTAGGCACACTTCTTGTGGCTTTGTCTCTTAGCTTTGGGGTCTTTTTTCTCATTCACTTTAAAAGTTCCCGGGCGTTCAGGTGGCAAATCCCTCCCTCCACCACCTCCCCTAACCCCCACAGGCAAAAATGCGGAAGCCATTATTGATCACCGACCCTAGCAACCACTGGTTATAGAGGCGAAAATCTCACACGTGGGCGCAGCAATACTTTTATACTTTTATCCTCTTCGCCACTGATCGGCTTGTTAGCCGCTTGGGCGATCGGTCACGACTCTTTTCCTTTATATTCTTCACCAAAAGGTCGGCTCGCTAGCCGCCCGGGCGATCGGTCACGTCTCTGTCACGCACTGTTGGCAAATACTGGGCATGCACCGGCTCCTGAATGTACCTGAACCCGCTCCAGTGTTGGTCAAGTCTTCTCTTGAAAGAGCTCACACTCGGTGCCGTCACAACACTTTCTGGTAGATTGTTCCAAGAGTTTACAACCCTCACTCCGAAAAAGTTTGCCCTCACGGTTTTCCGGACTTGCGGCTTCTTCAATCTTGAGCTGTGACCCCTTGTGGGGCGAGCGTCCGCCAGCTCCAAGTAAGGACACTCAACTGAGTAGTGCCCCCTGAGATGCCTATAAACCTCAACTAGGTCCCCCCTTGCCCGTCTGTAGTATAAGCTAGGCAAGTTCAGGCGCTCCAATCTCGCAGGGTAGCTGAGATGCCGAAGTGCAGGCACCAGCTTGGTGGCCCTCCTTTGAACATTTTCAACCAACTGACAGTCCCTAGCATATCTCGGGGACCAGATGGGGTGACAGTACTCCAGATGGGGAAGCACTTCACTCCTGAAGATCGTCACGAGGGACGGACCGTCTAGATATCTGAACGACCTTCTTATAAGACCCAATAATTTATTTGCCTGATTTACCTTCTTCTCACAATGGCCCGAGAACTTCAGCTCATTGTCAACATACACACCTAGGTCCTTCTCACACACAGTCTCAACTAGTACATTTTCTTCATCCCGTTGGGACATATGGTACGCCTCCTTACCGTTGGTACGCCCCAGGTGCATCCTCTTACACTTCGTGACATTGAATCTCAGCAGCCATTCCTTCGACCATTCCTGGAGCCCACAGAGGTCCTTCTGCAGCTCTTCACAGTCCGCTTGGTTCTTAATTTCCCGAAATAACTTGGCGTCATCGGCAAACATTTGTATGGAGGAGTGTACAACGTCAGGCATATCATTTATGAAACAAACAAACAACAGCGGGCCCAATACACTACCCTGCGGTACCCCACTTGTTACAGGTACAGATGACGATTTCGTGCCATTAATCACCACACATTGCTTGCGGTCATGTAGAAAGTCTTCTATCCACGCTAGGACATTTCCCCGAATTCCGTACCCTTCCAGTTTGATTTTCAGCCTTTCGTGGGGTACACTGTCGAAAGCCTTGGCAAAATCTAGGTAAATATTGTCGATATTACCACCCCGTTCTAGAATATGGGTCCAAATATCCAATACCTTGAGCAATTGTGTCAAGCAAGAGCGCCCCGGCATAAAACCGTGTTGGCAATCTTTTACAAGGTTGTTTCGTAGTAGATGTTCCATCGCTGCATCTCTGATAATACTCTCAAGTACTTTACATATTATGCTGGTCAGGCTCACCGGTCTATAGTTGTTCGTGGAGTGCCTATCGCCCTTCTTGAAGATAGGACTCACATAAGCCACTTTCCATTCACTGGGGACCATTTGTTCATCCAGGCATTTACAAAACAGAATCTTCAGGGGCTCTGCAAGCTCGTTGCACAGCTCCCTTAGCACTCTAGGATGCACCATGTCAGGTCCAGGACTCTTATGGACCTTTAGCCTGGACAGTTTATTTCTAATACCCTCTTCTGTGAACACAATGTGGGTCAGTGCTGTGTCGAACCGTCTGTCCTCAAACGCAGGAAGGTTAGTTGCATCCTCTCTTGTGAACACTGAGGAAAAGAAGCTGTTCAATGCCTCAGCTTTATCCTGGTCAGAATCTGCGTAACTACCATCTTCAAGCCTCAGGTCTGATACTCCTACTCGCGTTTTCAATTTCGACTTTGCATAGCGGTAAAACGCCTTTGGGTTTGACTTGACCTCGCGTGCAACCAGCCTTCTGGAACTCCTTTTCAGCCCTCCTACACTCTATCTTTGCTTGGTTTCTGGCTCTTGCATACATCCTCCTGTCTTGCTCATCGTTTGACCCAACCCACGTCTTGAATTTCTGGGTTTTCTTCTTAATTTTGTCGACCGCCGCATGGTTCATGTGTAGGGATCCCCTCGTATTCCTAGAAGCACTGGGTTTGGTCTTGGGTATATATTTATCGATCAAATGGGTCATTTTACTAGTTATGATATTCAGCGTAGTGTCTGCGTTCTTGTACCTTAATAAGTCAGGCCAGTTGATACCCCTCATCTCTTCCCTCATCCCATTGTAATTTCCCTTGTAATATTTGCACCTTGGCCTGGCCTTATCTTGAACTAGGTAACAGTTAAATCTGAATGACAACACTGTATGGTGACTGGTGCCAACTGGGGCAAGGTGTTCCAGTTTGGCCACCATACCCTCCTCGTTTGTTATGATGAGGTCAAGTGGCTTGGGTGTTTGCTCCCCTCTGTAATGTGTCGGGTCTCTCACATGTTGGAACAGAAAATTATCTCTCAGAGTTTCTACAAAAAGAGTAGCAGGATTATTCAAGTCATTCGGGGTTGACTCGTTTCTCCAGTCGATGTCGCCATAGTTAAAGTCCCCCATGATAAGGAGGTGGCTGGGGTTGAGCATCGCCGCATTGTTTATTAAGGTTCTTAAGTTCCTTTGATTTAGTGGGCCACAGTTCGGGGATCTGTAGATACACCCGACGATAAGTAAGTCCCCTCCCTTTAATTTAATTTTACACCACTTGGACTCTTCAAAAACATCCTCTCCCTGTACCCTCGCCTGGCTGGCTCTAAGGTCTTGCCTAGCGTAGATAACCACACCCCTCCTGCAGGATTCTTGAGTTAGGTTCGTAAATGAGTCATATCCAGCAATACTGAACTCACATTCCTCTGGGTCGATTCTCCTGTTCTTGTACAACAGTTCTACAACTCCTACAATATCTGGTTGGTGTACTCTTAGTAGTGTTTCAAACTCCTCCCTCTTATCAAGGAACGTGTCAGTATTAGTGTACATGACATTCAAGCCAGAATTTGTTCTCGGTAATGTATTCCACGGAGTGAGAGTGAGGCGGAGCGGACAGCTACGTCATCAACATGGCGGCAAACAAACGCTATCATTGATGCGCTCGGACGCTTCCCGCAAAATCTCCGTTATTCAAGAGAATCCAGACGTTATTATCGAAAATGGGTATCTATTGTAACTTACTGTTATTGTTGAAAACGTTATTGTGGAAGTCGTTATTGGCGAGAGCCTACTGTACCTCCAAAATGCTTTAAAAGTGACAAGTGAGAAGAGGCATTGCTCTCCGAGGAACAACTAATGTCAGACTAAAATGACCTATTAGTGATACTGTACACTGACTGACCTTTAGGTGTTGCTGAACCCTTGGTCAGTGTGATAACTTGAGACTTGCCGGTCTGCAGGAGGCTCTCGGGACTGTCTGCGTTGGTGAGCTGACACAAGAAGCTGTCTGGTCAAGGATACACATCATCCATTAATTTAATATCGACATTTGTTAAGCACTTGTAAGGGATATGATTTAGGCTAGATACAGTAGGGATGTGTTTGTGAGTAATACAAAAGGAGGTGATGTGTTTGTGAGCTAGACATACAGTAGGGATGTGTTTTAAGTTATACATAATGAAATGATTTATATCCGTCAAGACATAAAAGGTGTTTGCAAGCGAAAACAAAAAGTAAGAGGACATGTTTGTGGGTGTTTGGTGTATAGTAAACAAGACAAGCAGCAGCAGCAGAGGGACATACCATTGTTTTGCGGGATGATGGTGACGGCCGTGCAGGCGGTCTGAGAGAAGCACATCATCTTGCATGTACCTGAGGGGGGAAGACTTCACTGTCTATCTTCCCAACATAACAGGATGACAACAGAATCAGAATCAGTTGTGTTTGTTATTATGTTCCTTCCAGATACTATACTTAGACCTTCTGTGTGTTGCTAGAATCATCACTAGTATATGGAGGCGCTTCTGCTATTCCGGATAATTCACCTCCTTTTTTACCAAGAATGTTTCCTACGTGATCTTGTCCTCATCACTTCTACTTCCAGGGAATTTATACCTACACACTAAAACACAACAAGTCAACGTATATAATAAATGTATTGAGTGACATTTGGCGTGTTAAATAAAGAGCACTTGGGCTCCCCAGGGTGAAATTGGTGGTAATATCCGAGAACACAACGACCACCAGCAGTTGTTCGATTTCGTTTACTTTTGTCCATTGACGTTATCATTATAATAAGTATTTTTAGTATTTTAAAGGCGGCGACAACATTTTATTGTAAATTGATCTTTTTTATTTTGCTGCGAGTCAGCATTGTGTTCGCCGCCACAGTTACAAAACCTGGGATCAACCACATGGCCTACACCAGCCCCATTAAGGTGGTAAACAGAAGCGACATCTGGGACGATCACGTTGGCAGCAGGCAGTGAAGCTGTGACCCCAATGAGATGTATCACAAAAAGCAGACCCGGGGTGATATGGTTCTCCATAAAGTGGAGGGAGTATTGGGTGGGCCTCCACAGTGGTTGGGCATTCTCTTCCCTTCCACATGACAATGCCAGCAGCTTGTGGGGTTTTCTCCTGGTAATGTCGACGTATAGTGAGTATACTAGAATTAAAGTCATGCGCATCTTCGATGTCAGCATATATGGGGAATCGTTTCACTAGGATGTGGCAACATTCTTCAGTATCTACTGGGGGGGGGGGGCCAGGACAACCCCATCAAACCCAACAGTACTAAGTGTTTCATAGACCTCAGGAGTCTGACACTTGATAAAGTTCCGGTTCTTACCTTGTCCGAGTTAAATGTGGAGACGTTGTTTTCTGCAGTATACTTCATCATCCAATAAAATTGTTTCGTGAAGGTTTTCAGTGAGTCCTTGGGGAAGTGCAGATTCAGCTTACTTGGCTGGTAGGAAGAGGGCAAGGTGATAGGGTCTGTGGCATTGGTGTTTCCACTTCAGGTAGTGTTCACTGTCATAATCACTGGGGTCTGACTCTTGAAGGGTGTTGGATTCAGTATGACCAGGCGAGTTGGCGATGGCATCAGTAATGTCTGCGTCCATGAGAGAGCCTCTTCTGGGACGTTTATGTTGGGAAAAACTTGCCGGCTGAGGGGAGTTGGTTCTGAGGGGACTTTTGTGGGACGATCGGGAAGTCAAGAACACCTATGGGCATGTCTGTCTCTTTATGTGGTCACGCCACGACTGCATTAAAGGCGTAAAAGCCTGAAGGGTCATGGGTTTTGTCAGCAAGTCACATAGAGTGACAGAATGATGTGTGTGGGGGGAAAATTCCTCGTACAATTTATCTGTTTATGGCAAAGCGTGGCAGGTCCGTGAGTGTGTCGTCACAAATTGTTGGCGTTGTGGCAAGGTTGCCGGGTGACTGATAGTCAGCGCGGCGAATAAGGCAGAGTCAGCTCATAAACTTTACAGTCACCTTTCTCCAAACAACTCTACCACCAATCTACTTTTGTTCTTCATAAACTGTCTCAGTACCAACCAGAACATGAAACCGATATGAACCGATATCGATATCTTTATTGTGATGATCAACTCGGTGATTGAACAGAAAAGCATGCGGAAGTCATGCTTACCTTCATGACTCGTGCATCGGCCGTAAATGCCTGAAGGGCCATGGGTTAATTGACTGAGCCGGTCCTGTGACAACAGGCGCCATATTGGTAATAATATGAGGATACTCATAAATGAAAGTTTCTTCATATAATGTGATATTAATTATAAAGCCGATCATTATATGGGAGACAGCCCGAGATGACTTCCCACCCGCTGAGTCAGAACATGGAGCCTGTTTGGCTCTGCTGAAACCTGAAGGGGTGCGACCCCTGGTGGGTTTTTTCTACTACAACTCCCACACGTAAGGGGACAGACATGTGCCCATAGGTGCTCCTGTCCTCCCGATTATCACACAAAGTCCACCTCAGTCTCTACCTTCCCTTTCACCGGCAAGTGTTGCCAGCGATGAGGGGGGGTCGAACGCCCCAGAAGAGGTGTCCCCTCTCTCATGGATACAGACATTTCTGATACGGATATTCATACTGCATCCCACACCCTGCAAGAGTCAGACCTCAGTGATAGTGACAGTAAAAGTAATGTCTCTATGGGAAACGCTTGCTGGAGTGGCAACACCAATACCAAGGGCAGCGAGCTAACCCCTCACCACCCACCCCTCTGCCAACCAACCAAGTAAGCTGAATCTGCACTTCCCCAAGGACTCGCTGAAAACCATCGAGGAATGGTTTAATTGGACAACAAAGTATTCTTTTATCTTTCATCCTCTTCGCCACCGATCAGCTTGTTAGCCGCTTGGGCGATCGGTCACATCTCTGTCACGCACTGTTGGCAAATACTGGGCATGCACCGGCTCCTGAATGTACCTGAACCCGCTCCAGTGTTGGTCAAGTCTTGTCTTGAAAGATCTCACACTCGGTGTCGACACCACTCTCTGGTAGATTGTTCCAAGAGTTTACAACCCTCATTCCGAAAAAGTTTTGCCCTCACACTTTTCTGGACTTGCGGCTTCTTCAATCTTGAGCTGTGATCCCTTGTGGGGCGAGCGTCCGCCAGTTCCAAGTAAAGACACTCAACTGAGTAGTGCCCCCTGAGATGCTTATACACCTCAACTAGGTCCTCTCTTGCCTGTCTGTAGTATAAGCTAGGGAAGTTCAGGCGCTCCAATCTCTCAGGGTAGCTGAGGTGTCGAAGTGCAGGCACCAGTCTGGTGGTCCTCCTTTGAACATTTTCAACCAACTGACAGTCCCTAGCATATCTCGGGGATCAGACGGGGTGACAGTACTCCAGATGGGGAAGCACTTCACTCCTGAAGATCGTTAAGAGGGACGGACCGTCTAGATATCTGAACGACCTTCTTATAAGACCCAATAATTTATTTGCCTGATTTACCTTCTCGCAATGGCCCGAGAACTTCAGCTCATTGTCAACATACACACCTAGGTCCTTCTCACATACAGTCTCAACTAGCGCAGTTTCTTCAACCCGTTGGGACATATGATACGCCTCCTTACCGTTGGTATGCCCCAGGTGCATCCTCTTACACTTCGTGACATTGTATCTCAGCAGCCATTTCTTCGACCATTCCTGGAGCCCACAGAGGTCCTTCTGCAGTTCTTCACAGTCCGCTTGGTTCTTAATTTCCCGAAATAACTTGGCGTCATCGGCAAACATTTGTATGGAGGAGTGTACAACGTCAGGCATGTCATTTATGAAACAAACAAACAACAGCGGGCCCAATACACTGCCCTGTGGTACCCCACTTGACAGGTACAGATGACGATTTCGCGCCATTGGAGACAACACGGTCTCACCATTCAATTCCGAAAAGATAAGAACCGTAACTTTATCAAGTGTCAGACACCTGAGGTCTATGAAACACTCAGTACTGTTGGACTTGACGGGGTTGTTCGTTTTATTCTATTTTTTTTATTATTATTTATTGGGCCTCCCCCTACACCCTTGTGTAAGGTGAAGCGCAGAAGCGTTTACAGCGTCCAACAGGGAAGCATGCTAAGTTCATGCTTGCCTTTATGTCTCACGAGTTAAGAGCGTAGAAGCCTGAACAGTCAAGGGCGTAGAGGCCTGAAGAGTCAGTGGTTTATGTCATCAAGTTATTGGAAGCTCCAACAACTTGTCCCTGAATACGAATTCGCAACTTTCGACTTACAACAGGTACCTACTTTACTGCTAGGTGAACAGGGACAAATGGGGGCTAGGAAGTAAGTCCAAACAACTTCCACTGGCCCGGGAATCGAACCCGTGACATCTCGCTTGCGAGGCAAGAACGGTACCGCTTCTACCACCGGTCCCCACAAGACGGGGTTGTTCTCATGCCTCCACCTGCTGACGCAGCGGAATGTTGCCACATCCTAGTTAAACAATTCCCCCTATACATTGAAATCGAAGATGCTCGTAACTTTAATCCATGTACACTCAGTATATGTCGACACTACCGAGGGAAGACCCCACAAGCAGCTGTCATAGTTAAATGGAAGGGGAGGGAGTGCCCAACCACTGTTGAGGCACACCCAGTCCTCCCTCCACTGTATGCTGAACCAGATCACCCCAGGCCTGCTTTTTGTGTCATCTGCTCCCATTGGGGTCACACCTTCACTGCCTGGTGCCAACGTGATCGTCCCAGATGTCGCTTCTGTTCATATAACCATCACTCCTCCGTTTGTGCCCAGAAAATCAAAGACCATCTCAATGGGGGTGGTGTGGGCTATGTTGTTGACCCCAGGTGTCGTAATTGTGGTGGCTGGCACAATGCTGACTCACGGCAATGCCCCAAACGTCCGCCTGTCCCAGGAGAAAAGCCTCCCCGAAGGCTGCGCCAACCCCAACCTCCCCCCCAGCCTACCTGGCCACATCCCTCTGCTTCCTCTCCTCTGGCAACGCCTTTTTCAACAACACCTGCCCCAGCCTGGTGCAACACAGCAGTCCCGGCTGTCTCCTAATTCAACTACTGGATGGACATCCTTCCCATCTCTTCTCTCACGCTGTCAGGCCTTGTGCTCCCACCGGTGTCCCCCCACAACCCCCCCTCCGGTGACACGACACACATTATATCCTTCTCTCACGAATTTACCAACCGTATTTAAACTTTGATACACTCTGTACCACCATCTCCAACCTACACAGACTACCCCTGTCTTCAGCTGCTACCCAGTCACCCCCCTCTTCTTCTGGTTTGACAAGCTGTTAGCCCCCCTGTGTGCCCCTCATGCTCACGGCCTACTCCACTGCCCCCTGGCATCACTGCTGGCGTGGCACCTACCAAGCCTGCCCCGGTGTGCCCTGCTGCCCCCCGTCTACCCACTGCAAGCCGCGCATGCTCATGGACCCGAGGACACCACCCCGGTTCCCCGTCCCCCACCGGCATGCCGGCACCTGGGGCCCATCCACTCCAGTTCCCCACATCAATTGACCACTACGAGGACATGCTAGTGGACTACGTATCTACGCCAAGAAAGACGTCCCTTACCAACCTCTCGACGTTCCCTTTGAAGCCGACACTACCGACGTACACGCCATCACAATCACACTAAAAGGTATGTCCCTCAATACTGTCAATGCCTATGGCCTGGCACTTGACACTATTAGGGACCTGCCACGCTTTGCCACAACAGATAAATTGTACCGGGAAATTTCCCCCACACACTCATCATTCTGTCACTTTATGTAACTTGCTGACAAAACCCAGGACCCTTCAGGCTTTTACACCCTTAATGCACGAGTCATATAGGCAAGCATGAACTAAGCATGCTTCCCAGATGGGCGCTGTAAACGTTTTTGAGCTTTACCTTGCACAGGATGTGAGAGGGTGCTCAATAAACTAGCCCCCTCGGGGACAATCTAAAAAAATCTTCCCTCCACCCTTTACCCTTGTGTCACTTAGCGTTTAGTTAGCGAGTTGTTTTATATCATTCTCTCTGAGCAAGGTACAACGCTGAAATGCAAGAGAATGAAACCTGCGTCTGCCTTGTCGTCTTACATTTTTTTTTATTTACCCAAGCCATTCTCTTTACCGTCTCTCCGAGTAGTACATCCCAAAGTAACAGGTAGCGCTGTAGTAAATTTTTGGGACCTTTCTGAAAATAATGGGAAAGTGTGAGTCGAGTTGAATTTCCTTATTAGATATTCCTTGGCTGCGCTCCTCCCCCAGGGTGAGCGCAAACACAAAAAGGTTTGGTGGGAATAACTTTAAAATGATTCACTAGGTCATAAAAGTTTAAACAAAAACAATCGCCGAGGGCCCGGAGGGAGGTGTGATGGAGTGCCATACAAGACATGTAAAGGCAACGGAGTTCCTGGACTAAAATACTTAAAAGCTATTATGATGGTTGACAGGAAGTCGGTAAGTAATTCGTAAGAGTGAAGATACTTACAAGTTTGGTGCAGCTTTAAATTCAGTCACTATTATTTCTACTGCTATGTAGAATAAAACACGAATACGAATTGGTGTTATTTTCTGACGCATTCTTACCAACACAGTGACAGCCTGATAGTAGGAATGTGATCGATATATTTCAAGCACTTAATGTTCTTAAACCTGCAACTCACACGTCGGGAGTCCTATTGTTGTCATGATACAGCTTGATATTGTAATACTTCCCACACACGCACACACACACACACACCCCAACAAAGTGATCTTGTGGGAAGTAATAATATTCCCACACCCAAGGCCTGCTATATTTATGAGGGAGCTGCGGTTCACAATTTGGATATCAAATTATTTATATCCGAGGGATAACTTTTACAACCCAAAGCCTGTAGTCTTCTTGAGGATGTAATTTAGAAAAGCACTGCAATATTCACTCCGTGTTCAGGAATGTGTGTCTCCCTGCTCTCTTTGTCCACTTGACCGGTAATTACTATTGATTCAGATAAATCAATGATTTTTTTCAATGTGTTGCAAACTTCTTTATTTGTAGTGACGGTGTTTGTTGGTTACTACAATAATAACCACGTTAATTTATGACTAGCATTAGCTTAGAAAACGAAATCAACAGGCATATTTTGCGAAGCACCATCACACACTGTCCACAAAATACGTTTAATAAACACATTTTTAATCGTCATGCTTCCTGACGTTCTATGACAAATGTAGAATAATATCTTGTAATTCAACGGAGACGGTGAGGACAACACTGGGACTGTTTACCAATACTGTTTGTACTAAATACCGTTATGATATACACATGTACTGTACTGTACAAATAAATAATCATTTACCAAGCACGAAGTTACTGATTTACCGAGAGAAATACTAATCGTACACAACATTAGCACATATCAAATCGTAACCACAGCTTACAGCTACCACTAGTGCAGTACGGTGGGCGGGCCGAGTAAAAATCATTATTTCTAAATGGGTTATAAATTATGTACGATTTATGACAGAATTAGATAGTCTAATATATAAAATATGATATCAGTTTGGAATGTGCATTTTATATGCCACAACTCTTAACAATATACAGTACAGGGGACCCTTATTAATCTTACTAAAAACAATTGACCATGCCATCTCTGAGCACAGCAGCTGTCCGTAGTCAGGTCATAGGGTAAGAAGACCCAACCTTCTCACCTGGTTACAAATCTTCTTAATCACAAAATTATCCAGTTTGTTCATACCATTACTCAAATTCATGTTGACAGATTCGGTATGTTTAATGAAACTGGATTCTATAATGTTCCTACTGACAATTGAATTACAAGGTAATATTGAGGAGGCATTATCCCAGTCAATGCATTGCTTATTATCTCCCATATGAATGAACAGAGCATTGGATTCCTGGCCGTCCTAACACCATATTTATGCTGTTTAAGTCTAGCTATAAGATCTTTACCTGTCTGGCCTAAGTAAAACAAATTACATTCCTTGCAAGGAACCTTGTAAGTGCAGCCGCCTGCATTGTTGGGGGAGTTCTTGATTAACATTTGTTTTACAGTGCATGAGTTTTTAAATGCCACATTAACGTTCCAGGTTTTCAGTTGTATAGGAATTTAAGAGAAATTTGTGTTAAATGGCAATACTAAGAAATTCTTATTGTCATGGGTTGGCTTAGGGTCAGTTCTAAAAGATTTCTTGGTAATGTTAAGGCATTTGTCTATAAAAGACCTAGGGTACTTTAGGTTCAAGCTCTTGGGAACTTCATGTTTTCTTGTGGTTATCAGCATATACTTGGATCATGCGCACCTACAGTGATTTCCTTGTATATATATATATATATATATATATATATATATATATATATATATATAATGTGCTTCGTTGTGTCACCAAAGTAGAATATACTGTTAAACATTCCTTGATCTGAAGAGGCTAGTGACATAACGTACTAGGGATGAGAGGTTAATCGGCCATGCATAGCCCTGTCAGTAACCAAACTAATTCACACACGAACTGTTACAGTATATGCCAAAATAATAATAAATTTGCCATGACTCTGTGTGCTTCATTGAGTCTAAGCATGCATTATACATTTCATTATAGATAAGTAATTTTATTTCTTCATTATATCATTGAGAGCTGTATCCAGTCTACAGTAGTTATTCTTGATGTGGCCAATTGCTCTACATACGTTATATAGCTGTATTATGAGTACGTCCCAATCACTGACCTTTACTCTGCCTTGTAGAGTGGGGAGGTTAGGTTAAGTGAGGTTGACAATATGAGGGAAGGTAGACAACATGAAGGGGAGGGAGAGAGAGGGAGAGAGAGAGAGAGAGAGAGAGAGAGACCACGACATACTCACAGCGTTTGGCGACGTTCTGAACCTTGGTGATAGAGCTGTCGGGCAGAGAGGCATCCTGGTGGAACGTCATCACTAACTGACCACTGACGACGCTCGCCACCAACCCCACCAGGAACACTTGCAACAGGGAACTCAGGGACACTCCTAAGGGCACCATCCTCAAGAGTAACAGGTTGGCAACAGTGAAACGCCTCGTCCCGGTGTTTGGTTTCATTTTCACTGATGGTAGGGCAGGACACTCACTGGAGAGAGAGAGAGAGAGAGAGAGAGAGAGAGAGGTAAGCTGCATTCTACACAGTATACAATGGTGTTTAGGCTACTTTCTGGACACTAATGATGGGATCCTATATGGTTAGGCTCTTCTTTAACTGTTAACTGTTGTTTGTAACTTTCTATACCTGCACTGTCTCTATACATTGTTCATATAACTGTACTGTCTATATACAGTGAACGACAAAAATATCTTCCCAGTTTTGTCTGATTTGTTGATGAAACAATAAAAGCTTCCTTCTCCTACAAATGCCCGAGTTTGCCTGACTGGAATAGCATGATTCTTCCGAGACGTAGAAATTCTGCCTCTGTGTAAAACATGAAGTATATCATGTTTAATGTGGCAAAGAGATTACTACATTTCTCAGTACAATTGAATTATGCTCCCAGAATCTCAGGAGGAGTTTACTCAAGACCACCTACAGTTTCTGTCACCCACAAGGGCCCTGTCGCCTCTCCTCCTGAACCACGAACACCCGAGATTTAGACTTATGCACCCGAAGCATTTATGGGAAGAATAATGTATCATTGTCTACCTTAAATATGCGAGTCTACACCTTAAACATGCGAGGAAAGTCAGACAGCATGAGAAGCGAGGACAAAAACAGCAGAATTTGTGGTGATACTTAACAATAATTAAAGTACATTAACTGGGGCAATGGACAGCAGCGCTTTTAGTGCACATTTATGCGTGTAAGCAACGACTCCACACCACACGCATTAAACTTACGGCGATAATAATTACACTGGGGAACACACTTTCGGTTGCATGAGTTCTGACACTTGATTCTGGTAGATTTGAGGTCACCGATTCTGAAAATGGCATTCGTTTGTGCAGATCAGGTCTAGTTTCAGCAATCAGGCCTGTGCCCCATTCAGCTGATGTTCCAAAGCCTATCTTCACTCAACTTGCTTCCGTTGAATCTGACAGTGAATATGACACTGAGGCCACAGAGGAGTCAACTAACAGAAATAGTGACTCAGATTTTGCAGGCATATCAATAGAACCGCAAACATTTAGCCAAGCAGAACTCAATGACTTGGTTCGAGATCTGGGTCTGTCTAAAAAGCTGTCAGAATTGTTGGCTTCACGGTTAAAAGATAAAAACTTGCTGAAAATAGACACAAAGGTAACATTCTTTCGCAACAGAGAAAAGAACCTCTTACAGTTCTTTGATTCTAAATTTGACTTCGTCTACTGTTGTGATATTTCTGGATTAGTCACCGCGATGGGAGCTCCAGGTTATGATCCGAAAGAGTGGCGCCTCTTTATAGATAGCTCTAAGCGGAGTCTGAAAGAAAAATATGAACACATCAAAACGGTTTTGGAGCTACTCAAATATGAAGAACACAAATGGATCATCTGTGTTGATCTAAAAATGGTCAATTTTTTGCTAGGACAGCAAGGTGGGTATACAAAATTTCCTTGCTTTATCTGCCTCTGGGACAGCAGAGCCAAAGACAGACACTGGATTCAGAAGGAATGGCCAGTTAGGGAAAGCCTCAATGTTGGGGAAAAGAACATCATTTATGAACCCCTAGTGGAACGTGAAAAAATTGTTTTCCCGCCCCTTCACATCAAGCTGGGCCTTATGAAACAGTTTGTCAAGGCGCTCGATACTGACAGTGACTGTTTTAAGTATCTGTGTGAAGTGTTCCCTGGTTTAACGCTAGAAAAACTCAAAGCAGGTATTTTCGACGGCCCTCAAATTAGGACGCTGATTAAAGACCAAGCCTTCACTCAATCCATGACTGATGTTGAGAGAAATGCATGGGGAGCATTCGTTTCTGTTGTAAGGAACTTTCTTGGAAACAGGAAATCAGAGGACTATAAAAAGCTCGTTGAATCTTTGATGGAAAGTTTCCATGTGTTAGGTTGCAACATGAGCATTAAGATGCATTTCCTGAACAGTCATCTTGAACTGTTTCCGGCAAACTTGGGGGACGTGAGTGATGAGCAAGGTGAACGCTTTCACCAGGATATCAAAGTCATGGAAGACAGGTATCAAGGTCGCTGGGACATTCACATGATGGCGGACTATTGCTGGAGCATTCAGCGAGACTGCACTGAGAGGCGATATTCAAGACAGTCCATTAAACGCAAGTTTGTGCCTGAATAAATCTGGCATAGTTCACAAAAGCAACTGATGAATCCAAAATATGCTTGTCAAGGTAAATAAAAGTAATTAAAAATTAATTCTACGTGTTTAGTAATTCCTCTCTGTGTGCTGGTTTAGATTTTTAGCAGTAGTATATGGTAGTCTAACTATATATAGTAGTAAATGGTAGGTAACTCACCGCAACAAAACTAGACCCGATAGAAAAAAACCGGTGCCATATTTGAAATCAGTGACCTCAATTTACCCAGAAACAGGTCTCAAAATGTATGCAACTGACAAAAAGTTGAATTTTGGTCCCCAGTGTTATTAAACAAACAGAAGAGGAAAATGCATTAGGAACGATTAGCCTACTTGAGAAAACAAGTTCGTTCCCAGTGACGAAGAGATGCTTTTTGAAGATTAGTAGGGTCATTGCCTAATACCTGACCATTGTGGACTTGATCTCAACCTCCTCTGTATATACAGTATATACCTTGTTACCTTGTTTTGTACTTCTCCTTAGTCTGTACTCACCCCTGAAGATGTGAATTACACTAAAGTGCTTGGGAACTTCGTGTTTCCTTCTTTCCTTGTGGTTATCAGTATATATATATATATATATATATATATATATATATATATATATATATATATATATATATATATATATATATATATATATATATATATATAGTGAGCTACACAAGTACAGTAATCAGAAGTACTCACAGCTGGGCGGGACAGGCCAGAGAGCGAGTGAGGACACACTTTCCCGTGACTGAAGACTGTGACTGAATACAGCTCAGTCACTTTGTGGTCAGTGCCTCAGCCAGACCTCGAGCCTCACCGTAGCTCCTCCTCACCCCCACACACCCACGGTGCGCAGTTAACTTATTATTGGCTGAGGTACACTACCCCTCCACCTTGCAGTCTCCTGATTGGGTACCACAAACAATTCAACTAATTCCTTTGCATGGCTGTGTCAATGACACTCCCGTTAGTATTTTCGGAAAATTTCTAAGCAATTATTAATCTTGTTTCCTCGTCAGGGAAATCATTATTTGTTGAAGGTAGAATTCCAAAGAATGTTCCCCGTATATACATTATAACTCTACTCCGTTTTAGGCTGCCTTTAGTCAGCCCACTTTCTACCTTTCCACATATGAATATAACTTTTTAATATTACGGGTGGCTTAACAGTTTCCCCCCCCCCCCCCGTCCAACTACTGTAAGGCTGATCGCTATCTATATCTGTTGGTTTTGCTTGTCATTTAAGCTTATGAAACTGAAGAGACGTAGAGTGAGGGGCGACGTGATCGAGCTGTACAAGTGGAAGTCAGGGCTAACAAGGGTGATATAAAAAGGTACTTAAGCATATAGTGGCTGTGTTGACTATCCTTACCCAACTGCTTTACCGTCTGTTTACCCATACTGTGTAGTGATGAGTGATGGTGTGGTGATGGTGTAGTGATGGTGTGGTGATGGTGTGGTGATGGTGTGATGATTAGATGGTGTGGTGATGATAGTGTGATGATGGTGGGGTGGTGATGTGATGATGATATGGTGGTGTGTGTGTGTGCATACCAGTCGGAACGTTGATCAGAGTTACGAATAAACAGAGCAACGAGTCTCTCCTCCAACCAAGCGTTCTATAATTGTCAGAACTAATAATCAATAAAACTTGAATAAATAGAATGTAACCATAGTTAAGATTACTATTTTTTTCATAATATAATAAATCGTAAAAAAAAACATCAAGTCTGGTATGAATTATCCATATAAGTAGATAGTGTTTGATACAATAATGTTAAATATGGTCATTGTACGCGTATTGCATGTTACGGAAATTACCGGAGAAATGGTAGGAACCCCCATACGCATTTATTCCTGCGTAGTACCTGTGCATGTCTATGTGTCTGTTTGTGTGCAGAAACAGCTGGTCATGTGGCTTATGGGGAAAGTTTCGCGTCTTGTGAAAGTTAAACGTGAACCTGAAGAATTTTTACCGATTTATTTAAGGTTAAGGTTGCCGAGGTGTGCAAAATGCCGAAATGTTGCAGAGTTTTGGGTTATAAAACCGTGTAATTTGACATGAAAACCCAGGAAAAGTAACTGATTAACTCCAAAAATTATTACCAAGACACTCGTCACCAAAGAGATCAATCAGACGACGTAGATAACCCAAAACAAACGTAACTAATGTTTTAAATGTTTTTTTAAAGACGCTGTCCGATTTCTTGGCAAGTACTGTCGTTTATCAAAACCACTTTGTCAACTAATTGATGACAATTCCAAGTAAAACAAAAGAAAAGCGTTAATGACTCTTAGAGAATGAATTATGGCGTCTTGGGTGACGTCATTGTCTTTCGAGGCGGTGTGTGGAAGGGCGAGGGACTGAGAAAACATCGATTGTTGACTGGTGGTTACTGTACAGTAGCTGTTGGCCAACTCTAGCTATGATGGATACTGGAGAACCCCCCCCCCCCTTCTACCAATTCATCATCATTATCTATACAATATGCTCGTACACCCTCTTGAACAGCCAACATCAACACACTACACTCTTAACTGGTCGCCAGGTACAGTAATACAGGCTGTACCTACCTTAACTTTCCTTACAACACTATCTAACCTTAACAAAGTAACATGGCCACATGATAAATAAAACTTAGGTGACTGACTGTCCATACAGCACAACACCCCAGCGAATGTCTATCCTCCCTCCTTCACAGGTCGACAAGTATATACAGTATAAGTATTATAAAGGGGCTTACTAAAGCCTCAGGAAGGAAGGATATTCCTTTAACACATAATCATGTTATTTACATATATCTGGCCAGTATGGGGAGGATCATCGTGTCTCCGTCAGGGGGTCGTGGAGTGGTGGTCCAGCAGGCGTCACGGAAGCGTTGTGTGTGGGGACATCTTAGGAGGTAGTGGATAAGGGTGCGGCTGTCGGGTCTTCTGCATAATGCACAAGAGCGTTGCTCAGGGGATGCCGGGATACCAATCTCCCAAGCAAAGTCATACCCAATGATGATACGGGCAGCAATCACGTCCCTTTTCTGCGACCCTTTCCCATAGACATACGAGAGGTCAGAAGTTTACGGAGGACATCGTACCAGGTGGGCGGGGAGACCAGGGGGATGGCTGCTTCCCGAGCTTCTCTCTGTTTGCGGCGAATTTGGGTCCTAAGCTGTAAAAGTGTTCGAGGAACAACGTAGTCAGGTGTGGCCTTGTTGCAGCCAGTCTTGGCAATACCCCCACACTTTAAGCCCCGCCTACATGATTCACTCCGGTTTCATATAGTTCTCCGAAGCTTCGAATCTTTATACCCCGTTTATACGATTCATTTCTGGTTCATATAATCTGTTCGAAGTTAAGTTATCCCGTTATATTTTCTGCAGTGGCTAATGGTGTGGCGGCCATCCGTGTAACAACCACCATCATAAAAACAATCACCACTGACACAACCCCCACCAATACCACCCCCATCATTTTCACTATCACCACCATTATCATAATTACCAACCACTTAACACTGATGGCTCTCTAAACACAGCAGCTGGGAAGGTTTAAAGTGCTGTTATTGTTACAGTCAAATTTTAATTGTAATAAACAACAAAAACTCGCGTCCTTTGTCTACCCTTTTATAGTCCGATTGTCTTTGTTTTTTTTATTGTTGTTGCCTGTTGGGATCTGGGTAGACTTAACTATATTTTAAATCCCCAACTCGTAACACAGGATATCCACTCAACACAGCCCTGAAACTTATAAGTAATCACTACCATAGTTTCACCATCACTGACACCTTCCTTATCCTCACTACAGTACTTATTCTCTCTATACCTTTCACTTAAATTATCACCACCTTGTTGATGATGTTCTAGAATAAATGTTATTGATCCGTTCTCACCCGTAGGCCTCAGTAAACATGACATAGTTAATGCCATAACCAAACTCACATCTAACACACACACACACTAGTTCATCCAAACAGAATCACAAAAAAATAAATGATCAGGAAGAAATCGTTGTTTAAATAGAAGCAAACAGAGAAGTACAAAAAAGGACAAACTCAATCCAAAGTTTACCATGGTGAGATGCATCAATTAACACAATATTTTGTATTTTATTTTTATTTTGGGGATTAGCCCACCCGCGCACAGATCACTGACCCACATACGGGCCTGGGGGGCGAAAATGTAATAGTCAGGCCTTGTGCTCCCACCGGTGCCCCCCCACAACCCCCCCTCCAATGACACGACACAGATCATATCCCTCTTCCACAAATTTACCAACCGTGTTGAAAAACTCTTAGATACACTCTGTACCGACATGTCCGACCTACACAGACAACCCCTGCCTTCAGCTGCTGCCCAGTCACCCCCTTCTGGTTTGACAAGCTGGTAGCTCGCTTGTGTGCCCCTCAAGCTTACGGCCTACTCCACCACCACCTGGCATCACTGCTGGCGTGGCACCTACCAAGCCTGCCCCCGTGCCACGTCCCGCCTCATCACCACGACACGTGGTGCCTCATTCTGTCCACCCAACGCAAGCGGCGCCTGCTCAGGTCTCTCAGCTGTCTCCACCAGGGCTCCCTATTGGACCCGAGGACACCACCCCCGGCTCCCCGTCCCCCACCGGCATGCCGGCACCTGGGGCCCATCCACTCCAGTTCCCCACATCAATTGACCACTACGAGGACATGCTAGTGGACTACGTATCTACGCCAAGAAAGACGTCCCCTACCAACCTCTCGACGTTCCCTTTGAAGCCGACACTACCGACGTACACGCCATCACAATCACACTAAAAGGTATGTCCCTCAATATTGTCAATGCCTATGGCCTGGCACTTGACACTATTAGGGACCTGCCACGCTTTGCCATAAACAGATAAATTGTACCGTGTAAAGGGCCTGGGAATTAGAGATAGAAATCCCTTACCAGACTAATCAGGTTCTTAATTATAGAAAGTCAAGGACCATGGTTTTCTGAGGAACAGCAAACAACCGTTTGAGATAGACATCTCCTTACTATAAAAAATATAACAAAACTCTGACACTACTCAACAACATCAAATAATTTCGGGAGTCAAACAATTAATGCAGTCAACAGTTAATGGAGTTAATCAATTAAGGGAAGCAAACAATTAAAGGAGTCAAACAAATAATGGGAGTCAGCAATTAATGGAATCAAACAATAAACAGATACTTCCTACGGCAGTGGCCCTGGGGGAAGGTTCTGGAACACGGTGATGCACACTCAGGGTGGGGAAGCGTCCATCCAACTCCACACTCAGCCACAGCAGCAGATTGTCTTGAAACGGCAGGAGAACACCGGGGCACAGACGGAATGAGATGAATTGACGGTCGTGGTAGTGGTAGATGACCAGAGAATTGGCAGTCGATAGGTGAAGGTCTGGGGACACAACCCACGAGTCCAGGACCTATGATGAGATCACAGCCAGAATTTGATGAACAGTGGGGTAGCTAGATAGTGACTGTATGGCGGCTGGGGTGAATCTGCCGGTGACCCAGATAGTCTCTGACGTTCTCACCTTTGTCCAACCGCCCCAAGAGTCGTCTGCACCAGCAAACGAGAGAGTTAGCAGCGGTAACAAGCAGGAAGATCGTTCCCCCCTTACATACCGGGAATTTTCCCCCACACACTCATCATTCTGTCACTTTATGTAACTTGCTGACAAAACCCATGACCCTTCAGGCTTTTACGCCCTTAATACATGAGTCATGAAGGCAAGCATGAACTACTCATGCTTCCCAGATGGGCGCTGTAAACTGTTTTGCACTTCACCTTGCACAGGATGACAAGGGGGTGCCCAATAAACTAGCTTTCTCGGGGCAAATATATAAAAAAAAAAATAAGGAAAACAAGTAATAATAATAACAACAATAACAATAATAATAATAATAATAATAATAATAATAATAATAATAAGTCATAGTAAATAACATATATAATAAAAAATAAAAAATTAATAGAAATAAAATAATAAAATAAAATTATAACAATAATAACGATAACACTGTAATAACAATAATAAAGAACCAAAAAGAAATACAAAAATGGAAAAAAATCAATAGTGGGAAACGATATATGTCCAGTATGTTGTGTTGTCAAAGAGAAACAATTGAGACCCTGCAATTGTGTGCAAATGAGGCAAAAAGTCAGATCATCAACCTGGGACTTGGTCACATATGGCAGCAGGGTCTACCATCAGACAACACATTATGCTTCCATTATCTTCCCAGGCGGTAGTACCTCCCTGTTTGGTAGCTGCCTAATACTTACTGCCTATTATATGAAGCCAGTCAAAAGGGATTGTAGCCGCTAGAGTAAGGATATGTTATGTTATGTTATGTTATGTGTCTCTCTGGTAGTCTGTCCTCCAAGTGTGTGTGTGTGGCAAGACATATGGCTATTTATAACGACTAACAATTTGTTTAAGTCATCTATTCTACCACTATCAACAACGACTACAACCACCACCACCCACAACTACAATCATCACCACTACTACTAATATTACCTTTACAATCAGTCTTACCACCATCACCACCACCATCTTTACACTAACAATCACAACCACCACAACCACTATCAATCAATCTTACCACCATTACCACTATCACCTTTTGCACTGATAACCACAACCACCACAACTACTACCTACCTCAACAATGACAACTATACCACCACCACTGCCAACTTCACCAACAATTTACCAACATCAAGTAACAACAACAATGACTGCGACGACTGTGATAACAACAACAACAACAACAACAATAACTGTGACGGAAGGTTCAGTGGTGATAAATGACTCTGCTATGCGAGGTGACTAAAGTAAGTACAGTAGCTGTGCATTGTGAGTGCTTATCACTGACCCACACACAATCAAAGACTCACACCCACTCATTGACCCACACACTTACAGACGCACACACTCAGAGAAGCACACACACACACACACACACACCCCCAGACGCACACACACAAAAAGTCGTACATTCTCATCAAATTCTTCATTATTTTCTGTGCCCGTGAAACGATTTATGCTCGTTCGCAATTCTCAAAAGGAATACAAATGGACTGGCAACATGAAATGATAATTTAAGTTTCTCTTTTAGTTTAGTTTAACAAATTTATTGGCAGAGCTTGTAGTACAACACCACCCCTCCCTCACCCCATACAACACCACCCCTCCCTCACCCCATACAACACCACCCCTCCCTCACCCCATACAACACCATCCCTCCCTCCCCCTAAACACAACCCTCCCTCACCCCATACAACACCAAAACACCACCCTCCCTCCCCTAAAACACCACCCCTCCCTCCTCCCCCTAAAACACAACCCCTTCCTCCCCCCCAACTACACCACCTCAGTCTCTCTTTCGTTCATTGTTTTCTCTTCATTACATTCTTTCGTATCTTTTGCTTTCTATTTTCAGTATATTTTGTTTCTTCTTTCTTGTACTTTCTCTGTTATGTTTCTGTCTTCCTTTATTTTATTTACATTTTCCTCTCTATCTTATTCAGTTCTGTCAGATTTTCCTTCTTTTTCCCTTTATTCCTCTCTTTCTGTTAGGTATCTTTCTTTCCTTATTCCTTTGTTTACACCGTATATGTACATTGTTTGTATATATGTGTTGTCTATGTATATTGTGTGTATACCTCCACTGTCTTGGTAGTTGCTGAATCAACATGAATTTGTATGGCGATTTCAGTGAATAAATATCTCTCTACTTTATCTATCTTATCTCCCTTTTCTTATCTCTCCATCTTCTTATCTCCCTATATTCTTATCTCTCTATCTCTCCCTTTCTCTCAAGCATTAAAACAATTGATCACTTAAAAGTGTTGCTTGTGTACATAAAGTCTATCCACCTCTTATAGTAATCGTCTTTTGTGTTATTCATGCATCTATACCTGAATTATAAGTACAGTGTTTCTATAGGTAAACAGGTTGAAATGAAACGCCATAATTTTCATAATTTTTTATATAATTGTCTTTCTCTTAACTACATAAAGAAGTGTACCAAAGCACGATAATTGCACGATAGTCTCTTCAATGCAGTTGCAATTCCGACCATAATGTATCTTACCAATATATATATTCTGTTTAATCAAATTCTAACGCTACAAAGAACATATAACAAAAATACTGTCTACACAATCTTTGTAAAAGTTCTTTACAATTTGTTAAAAAGTTTCCGCTACAGCTCCACAAAGGTGATGACTGAGTGATGATGACTACTGGGGATGAACATACAACACCACTGGTTATCATTAAGTCACTGGCCAAGTACACCGTGTAACTACAGCACAAAGAGGAAATAACTATCTTCCTCCTCTTTTTCGTAAACTAAATTCCATCATTGGGTATTGAATTTTTCGCTGGTGTGATGGTTCTTTGTTTAAATCATCAAAAACGAAAACACAAAATCCAGACAGCATGTTGTTCAGGTGTACCTGGCCGCGCGACGCTCACACACACACACACAGCATGTCCTTCAGGTGTACCTGGCCGCGACGCTCACACACTACTGGAAGATGATGAGCCTTTGTCTGATGCACTAAGTGTCAGGTGATGTCTGTCGTGGTTTTATACAAACGTCATTTTTTTTATAAAAAATGGTGTAAACCGGAGGAGCTAAGTGGGGGTGAACATTATACTCCTCAAACACATATAAAAGTACATAAACACACACGTATATATTATTATTTTGTGCGGGCGCTCAGACAGACACACACACACACACACACACACACACACACACACACAATTTGGAGGAGTGTTACTCTAGTGTGTGATGGGAAAGCGTCAAACTTACCGCAGTCTGTAATAAACCTTAATTTTAATAGGGCCCCAATACTAACGGTTAGGTTAGGTTAGGTTGAGGGCCTATCAGGACTACTATATTAAGAAGTTCCAGGATCTTATGTCTCCTACACAGTATTAGTTGATCCTTAAAACTATTAATTTTTAAGATATTATCATCAAACATAATCAGCAAAAGAAACAGATCTAATTTTACAGAGAAGATGTGGGAATGGCAAAATGATGAGTGACGTCACAATGAGTAACCAGGAACATGACGTCACTTGTAAAAAATATAGGAACGTCTCACATTATCTTCTATACAACAACTACTACATAAACTTTTTTGATTTGTAAACAGTTTTATTTACACATATTATCATCCTCACAGTAATCACCATCAGATCTACCTTGAGATATTCTACTCCAAGTTGTAAGGTATAAAAAGGTTGAGATAGAGTCAAGTTAGGATAAAGAAGAAACGTTGCAGAAGAAAACGTTCTGAAGTACTCTGGGGCCTCACTTGTCTGGTAGTTAGGGTTTAAAGGAACAAAAACAATTAATTAAACCATGTAGAAGTGGATTATTTCAGGACACAAAGACGCCAAACACCTTCCTACCCACAAGAGCAAACCTGATTCACTTCTCCCTGGACCAGCAGCCAGCCAGCGTCTGCCACCACAAGTGATTTTTAGCTCAGAACCAGTTTGTTGAAAGATACTGAAGGCTACGTGATACGACAACTCCTTAACAAAATCTGACACAACTGTTCAGTCACAGACAAAAGTTCGATCCCGAGGTGACACCGAGTCCCAGAATGAGTCTCCGAACTGACTTACCCATGACTGTTATTTGGTGCGGGTGTGTGGTTTTATCTCATTTGAAGTCGATACTGCTTCATATTGGGAGGGAGAGAAACTTTTGACCCCGACTGTACCTCCACCCCCGCCATTACAGCACCATAACTCCTCATCTTGGTGCTGGGTGGCGACTTAATGGCCAATAGTTATAACAGAGGAGGAAGGATGGATGGCAACAAGTTCATCCCAAGAAAATCATCGTGTTTACCATAGTCCAAGTGTGATTGTTATCCCTCATGTGTTGTAGAGATGCCGTGAGCTATGAACAGTCTGCCGCCAAGAGTAAAACGTCAACCACGCTTACATCACACACAAGAAGCGGTGATGGAATTTTCTTAGTATGACACATTACACCGGGGAGTACAGTACATGTTTGTTTATGGTGAAGGGAACAGATTATACGTCAGGGTGTCCGCTGAGGTAAATATCTAGCAAAAAACACTTGACTTTTACTATTAATTATTGCATTGATATTTAACATAAAAGGAAATTTATTCTCCTAATCTATTAAAACTTTTTAAAAAATCCCCATACATATATTTCCTTAATGAAGACTTTTAAAAAATCACCCAAAGTTGAGATTATTAAAACTTAACTCATACAGACAATTAATACGACTAAGAATTTAATAAGACGTGAAAAAAAATAAAGCCCTTTGGAGGAACGTCTTAATTATGAAAAAAAAGTAAATAAAAGCAAGATTTTCAAGGTTCCATTAAAAAAAAAAGACCCAGACACGATATTAACATAAAGAGGTCCACATTACGGCTCCTCATAAGGCCTCCCCCCCAACCTCCCAAGGACTAATTTTATTAAAGGCACATCCTCATGGACGGTGACGAGCCGGATACCTCGAGGTGCTGAACCATATACAACCTTTCACCAGCTAAGTCTTAGTTATAGACCCGGATATAATGATCGTTGTATTGTACTCGAGTCATGAAGAAGATGATTATGTCCAGGTCATATTACACTGCTCCCAAACTGAAGTATATCATTGTTCTTTATTTCTTATTTGTATTATTGTCTTCAAAATGTCTAAACAAATGACAAGATTATAAGATCGAGTTAATAATTTTTTTTTAAGTAAGAGTATAAGAAAGTCAAGATCTTGTGAACGATGCTTAATAAACCTGACAGTTGAAGTGCCTTAAGACAAAACACCCATGAACAACGCTTAATAACCCTAGCAGTTGAATCACCTAAATGTGGAGAAAACCAACAAAAAACACATAAAAGGTAACTTAATGCCCCTCTCACACTCACTGGTCCACGTATCTTTAATGGGTCAGTGTGTCATCATCCTTGGACCATCAGCAGGTCAACGTAACAGTCATCAAGGCCAAGGATGGTCTAGACAGGTACTAGAATTAAGGTATAATTTGACTAAGATCAGACAGTAGTTATTATGATGATGATTCTTGATACTAAAACGTTGTTACTACATCTCAGGTTGATAAGTATTTACTATGAGGTGATGGATTACCTTGAGTGGTGATTATCATCAGTAATATCATCTATTTTTTACATATATGTAATTTTTTTTATCAAGACTAAAATAAATTTAGCCAAAATAATTCTTCTCAACATTATCAAATTATCTTTTACAAATATCTTTAATGAGTTCATCGATTATTTTGGCCCAAAGAGTCAATCATAATTACTAAGATCATCTCTTGTCTATAATCCAACATTCACTTCTGGTCAAAATAATCAATTACTATTTACATATATATATATATATATATATATATATATATATTACTTTAAGAAGTGAGTAATGGCTTCATTCACATCTTATGAACACAAATACTCTTCCCTCGCAGACGTGACACAATATTATAGACTTTGTGTGGTTGATACTGAAGGAGGACGAGTTGTAGCTTAGTCGAGGAACTGGAACACAGGCAGACGAGTCTCATAGGTCAGGCTGAGTTAGTGTTACTTGGAAGGTGTGATCTGACGTCTGGTGGGTGTGACGGGGTGTAAGAGGAGTGTAGATATCTGTCAAGAAGGAGCAATTGGCAACGTAGGTGTTATGGGTGGTATGACCGCTGGTGGGGCTGCCATGATGGGTAGTGTAGGTGTAGTGATGGTGGTAGTTGGTGGTGGTGTACCTACTCTCGGTAATGTGGTGGTCGTTGTGGTGGTGGTGGGTGCAGTGTGTGGTCGAGGTGTAGCAGTATTAGGTTGCTCGATGATGGTGGTTATTACTGACGAAGTAGGCGGCACGAAAGGTCTTTGAGATGTTTTGAGTACTGTGGTTGGGAGGATGGCTGTGGGTATGGAAGTAGTCAGCGGTGAGGTAGTGTTGGTGTTGTGTGTTGAGGGTTCCTGAGATATGACATTGTGGACCCGACCAGAATCTACAGCTATTGGAGTAATGAATGAGTTAATTTCAACACAGGAAGGAGAATTGTGCCTCTTGATCTGTGTGGTTTTGTTTTTTTGAGGTGACGTGTCTGCTATCGTCTCTGTTGTTATGTCGTGTGTTGGTATAGTCTGCTGGGAAGACGTGTACTGTGTGTTAGTAGCGATGCTTTGTACCATGTTGGAAGAGGAGGTCACTTCTGAGTCCTGATATGAGAACAGTTTGGGGTTTATTGTGAGCACAGCCTGTTCTGTGATAGGATGGATGGAAGACGGGGTTTGTTGTATAGTAGGCATGGTGTGAGGTATGGTAGGCGTGGTGTGTTGTATAGTAGGCATGGTGTGAGGTATGGTAGGCGTGGTGTGTTGTCTGGTAGACGTGGTGTGAGGTATGGTAGGTGTGGTGTGTTGTCTGGTAGGCGTGGTGTGTTGTCTGGTAGGCGTGGTGTGTTGTCTGGTAGGCGTGGTGTGTTGTCTGGTAGGCGTGGTGTGTTGTCTGGTAGGCGTGGTGTGCTGTATGTTGGACATAGTGTAGTGTGTGGTAGGTGCTACATGTGGTAGTGTGTGCATGACCTCTTCTTCGGCACTCATGCTATTCTTAAGCTTTATGGTATAGTGTGTATCTGGGTTGAGATTGACTTGGTGTGTGTCAGATGTGACCCGTTGTGAGTTGTGGCTGACTTGGTGTGTGTCAGATGTGGCCCGCTGTGAGTTAGGATTGACTTGGTGTGTGTTAGATGTGACCCGTTGTGAGTTGTGGCTGACTTGGTGTGTGTCAGATGTGGCCCGCTGTGAGTTAGGATTGACTTGGTGTGTGTTAGATGTGACCCGTTGTGAGTTGTGGCTGACTTGGTGTGTGTCAGATGTAGCCCGCTGTGAGTTGTGGCTGACTTGGTGTGTGTCAGATGTGGCCAGCTGTGAGTTAGGATTGACTTGGTGTGTGTCAGATGTGACCCGTTGTGAGTTGTGGCTGACTTGGTGTGTGTCAGATGTGGCCCGCTGTGAGTTAGGATTGACTTGGTGTGTGTTAGATGTGACCCGTTGTGAGTTGTGGCTGACTTGGTGTGTGTCAGATGTAGCCCGCTGTGAGTTGTGGCTGACTTGGTGTGTGTCAGATGTGGCCAGCTGTGTGCCAGGTGAGGTCCACGGTGAGGTGACCATGACTCTCCCAACAGGTACGACTTGGTTGTGTTTGAGCTGCCATCGGAACCTCCTGAAGGATTTGAGACGAGTCCCAATGGCGGTGGCGTCACGCAGGGCTGTCAACAAGGATGAAGATGTCGTCGGCTGAGTCCCTGCGGAATGTGGTGGTAGAGGTGGTGGTGGTGTTGGTGGAGGAGGTGGTGCGGAGGGAGAAGGAGGAGGTGTTGGAGGTGGTGATGATGGTAGAGGTGCTGAGGGAGGTGTTGGGAGAGACACCAGCAGCCAGAATTAGTTCATCGTCCGCACCATTACCTCCAACAACATCATCATCATCATATCCATAATTAACACCTGAAAGAATCATTATTATTCCTTACCTAAAACTTGGGCTGACTTAAAAAAACAATAATAATTTTGCCTCATTATTAGAGACATGATCACTTCTCTTGCACTTATACACAACAAGGCTTCTCTACACAGATTTAGTCTCACAGCATTAATTTCTTTATTGTTTTCACTGGAAAATCTTGAATGGGATCACTTGCTCGTGCGAACATCGGTAAATATCATATTATTGCAGTGTTTAATTAAGATGTGATCCAAATATACATTCTCAAACAAAACTGAATAAGAGAGTGAGTTTGATTATGCGAGAACTGCATGTTATTGCCCCCCAAAAGGGGGGGGGGGGAGGCTGAGAGATGATATACTGCGGTAGTGGAGATATGAGACTGAAACTTTACTCTAAGATGGTTGACCAAGAGACAATGCTGCTTAGTTTGGGAAGGAAATTTAATTAATATAATTCTAAGACTGTACAGTTATATAACCGATGAACATTTATTAAAGTTACCCATTTAATCAATAAACTGAAAACTTCGTTTTCTCTAAAAGATATTTTAAGGTATAACTATACCATTTACTTAATCAACCGGCTCATAAGCAACATACAAGTTTCACATAAAACAAATCAAGACAACTAGCACACCTGACACACAATAAAGCTGTACTAAAATGGACAGTACAAATATGTGTTCCCCAAACATGAAATACACACACTCACACCAGCTGCAACGACAACCCTGAACAGTACACATACCCACTCTGACCATCACTCAAGTTCAGGGTCACATACTTGCCCTGGCGATCGCTGGATTCTTTTAGAACTCAGAAGGTTTTTTTCGTGTCAAGTTAATTTTCCCTGAAGATTGTTGAGTAATATAATTAGTGCAGACACCAGGAGGCCCTAGGAGCACCCCCCTCACACTCTGGCTGTATGCTCGTCTCACCTACACCAACCTTATCAGTAGGAACCGTAACAGTGTAAACATTTGCTGAAACTACGTGTGTGTGAAAGGCTTCCCATTGACCCGATATTCCACCAGGGTCAGTGTGGATATAGCGCACTGAATACTGAGCCTTCGATGCTCCAAAACTTTTACTTTTACTTTTATCTTCTTCGTTCGGGAGGTCGGTCACGTCTCTGTTACACACTGTTGGCAGGTACTGGGCATGCACCGGCTCCTGGATGTATGTGAACCTGCTCCAGTTCTGGTCAAGTCTGGTCTTGAAAGAGCTCACACTCGGTGCAGTCACAACACTCTCTGGCAGATTGTTCCAAGAGTTTACAACCCTCACTCCGAAAAGTTAGCCCTCACAGTTTTCTGGACTTGTGGCTTCTTCAACCATTGGGTGTGACCCTTTGTGGGGCGGGCAGTGTGTGTGTGTGTGTGTGTGTGTGTGTGTGTGTGTGTGTGTGTGTGTGTGTGTGTGTCCAGTACCACATTCCATCGCCTTTCTATCCTCAACTACTGTATAGAATTAGCTTCCCACTCACAAGGGCCCCTTCGTGTATACTGTATTATTGTGGTGTAATGAAATGAAATGATTCTGTGAATTAATAAACGCGATGGATAAAAGTAAATAAATATCAAAACAAGGAAAAAAAGAACACCAAAAACAAAATTTTATATAATTGATAACATTCAGGACAAAATAGTTTATCTCTCATGACGTCACTCTGACTAGATGCACCCAATAAAAATAAAGAGGCCAAATAATAATAAAAAATAACACTGAGACTAACACTGTAATAGTGAATAAGATATGAGGTAAGAGAATATTAGAAAATAAATTAACACTTAAGTGAAAAAAAAATCATGAAGAATTTCAGCATGCAGCGTAAGTGTTAAGGTGTTAAAAACGTACCACGAACAGGCCTGCACAGCCACTAGATTTTGAAACGATACTAACGAGCCAGACCATCCGTAAGTAGTTTTGCTGAAATGCTAAGGTCAATTGTGTTATGTTCCTTGTCGTCTACTGTCTGTATAAGAAATATGTGGTTCACGCATTGTTCGTAGTACTTTTTCAACATTTAACATTACTTTGTTAGTGTTGTTGCTGTCTTTAAATACCTAACAATGTTTGTAATTACATCATTCCATAAAACATAAAAGTCAAGAGAAATATAAGTAGTTATAACTGTTGTTAGTGTTGGTTATGGTGGAGCGGAAGAGAGCAAGTTTCCCTTGTCCCCTGATGTTCAGCCGTTTTCTTCGACACACCTTGTTGACGTCACAAGAAAATCTCACTCTCTCTGGGTTCCTCTGTCGTCGTCAACAACGGGGAGTGAAAGATCAGACACTATTTATTTGTTTTTGTTTTCTTCATTTAAAATAGATTGAAAATCTGATTTATAGTTTCAGTGGTAAGAAAAGTGAATTACTGTAGCTCTGTAAATAGGCTGTAATAGTAATCCCTGGAGTAAGATAACACAGTTGTTTGAGTATGATGACTTTTAATTCTTTAAAAACGATGACTGAACGATGCAAACTCCCCGAGCACCAGTGAGTAAGATAAACCCTCGAGTGTGATGTTCTAACCCTGATACAATGAAAAGGAAAAGTAATCAGAGACGTGACCGATCGCCCAAGCGGCTAACGAGCCGATCAGTGGCGAAGAGGATAAAATTAAACAAAGGACCCTCCTGGAAATAAGCAGCTGACATCTTTGTTGAATATCCTTGGTCAAGTTGTCTTACTGTTTACCATTGTTGTTTACCTGCAGCACTGTCTCGGCACACAGGTAACCCACGGTCTACCTGCACCGTATACCTACATGGTCTATATTCATGCCTATCCTTTTGTAAACCTATATGTCAATTTTACTGAATATTTATTATTATTATTATTATTATTATTACGTTGATTTACTCTCTTGAGTAAGATGACATTGTACTCTGAGGGTGACGTTTTTGTACCTGGCGTTAACTTTTACTTTTTTTTTACTTTTTATCCTCTTCGCCACTGATCGGCTTGTTAGCCGCTTGGGCGATCGGTCACGACTCTTTTCCTTTATATTCTTCACCAAAAGGTCGGCTCGCTAGCCGCCCGGGCGATCGGTCACGTCTCTGTCACGCACTGTTGGCAAATACTGGGCATGCACCGGCTCCTGAATGTACCTGAACCCGCTCCAGTGTTGGTCAAGTCTTCTCTTGAAAGAGCTCACACTCGGTGCCGTCACAACACTCTCTGGTAGATTGTTCCAAGAGTTTACAACCCTCACTCCGAAAAAGTTTGCCCTCACGGTTTTCCGGACTTGCGGCTTCTTCAATCTTGAGCTGTGACCCCTTGTGGGGCGAGCGTCCGCCAGCTCCAAGTAAGGACACTCAACTGAGTAGTGCCCCCTGAGATGCTTATAAACCTCAACTAGGTCCCCCCTTGCCCGTCTGTAGTATAAGCTAGGCAAGTTCAGGCGCTCCAATCTCGCAGGGTAGCTGAGATGCCGAAGTGCAGGCACCAGCTTGGTGGCCCTCCTTTGAACATTTTCAACCAACTGACAGTCCCTAGCATATCTCGGGGACCAGATGGGGTGACAGTACTCCAGATGGGGAAGCACTTCACTCCTGAAGATCGTCACGAGGGACGGACCGTCTAGATATCTGAACGACCTTCTTATAAGACCCAATAATTTATTTGCCTGATTTACCTTCTTCTCACAATGGCCTGAGAACTTCAGCTCATTGTCAACATACACACCTAGGTCCTTCTCACACACAGTCTCAACTAGTACATTTTCTTCATCCCGTTGGGACATATGGTACGCCTCCTTACCGTTGGTACGCCCCAGGTGCATCCTCTTACACTTCGTGACATTGAATCTCAGCAGCCATTTCTTCGACCATTCCTGGAGTCCACAGAGGTCCTTCTGCAGCTCTTCACAGTCCGCTTGGTTCTTAATTTCCCGAAATAACTTGGCGTCATCGGCAAACATTTGTATGGAGGAGTGTACAACGTCAGGCATATCATTTATGAAACAAACAAACAGCAGCGGGCCCAATACACTACCCTGCGGTACCCCACTTGTTACAGGTACAGATGACGATTTCGTGCCATTAATCACCACACATTGCTTGCGGTCATGTAGAAAGTCTTCTATCCACGCTAGGACATTTCCCCGAATTCCGTACCTTCCAGTGTGATTTTCAGCCTTTCGTGGGGTACACTGTCGAAAGCCTTGGCAAAATCTAGGTAAATATTGTCGATATTACCACCCCGTTCTAGAATATGGGTCCAAATATCCAATACCTTGAGCAATTGTGTCAAGCAAGAGCGCCCCGGCATAAAACCGTGTTGGCAATCTTTTACAAGGTTGTTTCGTAGTAGATGTTAAGTCATTAGTAAGTAAAGTTCTCTTCTCATACGGGGAATACAGTATACGGTGGTAAAAGTAAATACTGTACGGAAAAAACAGTAAATAATAAAATATCTTGAACGACAGCAACTTAGTGCATAAACAAAGAAAATAATAAAATAATCAAAGACCGCAGGAGACGCATAGATAAACACATAACACTGAGGAGAAGTGGTAAGTAGTGTAGAGAGAGAGAGAGAGTTTTAGGGCTCGTCAAAGTAGTTCCCCCAAACTTCTCAGAATAAACGACGTTATAACACTCATCGACACCGTACATGATGTGTTTATAACTTACATGCACTTGTTTGACGATGAAATGACGCGCCTACTGAACTAACTCATACAAGATGGACGCCCTTGTAATTTGTTTTCCATGTTGTCAGAACTTTCTTAATAAGAAACTTCAGCCGAGGTATAATATCCTCACTAATGCTCCAAAAAAGTGAAATAGATCATCTTACCTGGGAAAAGCGAGCTTAATAACGATAAAATAGTTGCGGTGTATTTTAATAAATTCTCACGTAAAGTACAGACAGTGTTTAGTATCAGTTTCAAGGTAGAGTACCACCCGCCTGTCGTGTCACCTGTTCCAGTTCACTGTCATCCACAAGCCGTTCGCACACACACACGGGTCAAGGTAATAACTAACTTAGCCTGACAACGAGGTGCCCTTGTTGTCTCTAAATCAACTTCTTTTTACGATAATTAAGACACCAGAACCACACAACGATCACATTTTATATTTTCACACAATAACGACCACTTTAGAGGTTGTTTCGTCTTATTAGTGTTAAATATTTCACTTTCATCAATCTGTCTATACAGTGTCGCCTTTATTCAACAACTTGTGTAACGTTACGCTAATTTACATCATGAATATCTAGGTTAATAGTACCGTTTTAAATCTTTATTTACCGGAGTTATAACCTCAAAAGCCGCCTAGAAATATATAACACAGTCAGCCATCCATCACTGAATGTCCCGTTTTCTCTGATGATTTAGTTTATAACAGTGAGTGTTTTGTTTTCCGAGCTATTACATACGATTTTATTCTTTTACTTTTACTTTTATTTTGCTCGGTCGCGTTTTAGTTCATCACCTGACTTAACATACACATGTACGACACAGTCAACATTATCACAAATTTATCTCAGTTATATCAGAAAATATTTAGGGGAAACTAAGGTAAAACTAAATGTTTTTATATTTATCAATTGGCCATTAATCAGTTTACTATAGTCGTTCGGGCGGTTGGTCTGGTCTGTCACTTTGTCATGATCTTTATTGTCCAGTGTTGGTACAGGAGGAAACTGCAGCGGACGGAAGGGAAGAACAGTCTCTTAGATAATACTCAATAGAATCTGAGTTTAGAAAAAAAAAGATAGAAATATCAAGCTAACAGTAAAATAAAATATACTTGAAAATATGAAGATTAAACTTTACCCAAAGAGAATATTATACAGTAGTTTACGAGACCTATTCCTACTCTTGCTTATGTCATTCTTTCTGATTATAATACACCCGATATATCACATAAAGTACTCTATACTGTAGTTCTGCATCTCTCTCTCTCTCTCTCATGAACTAACCTGTTATCTTCGTTAGGTGAGAACTGGCAATATCCACGGGGAAATTGGCATGGCCGTTGGAAGTCCTGCTTGAGGCACGGGAGGGCGTGTGGGCTGGTGTGTGGGCTGGCGTGTGCGTGGCAGAGTTAGTGGGCGTGCGGGTGGAGTGGGCGGGGGAGCAGAGGGTGGGTTGAGTATCGTCAGAGAGTTGGGCGGCCATAGTCTTGTGAAGTTCCGCCTTGGCTCGTCTCACTACCCACATAGTCAAGCCGATACTGATGACGATCTGTAAACAACGTCATCTGGTTAGAGAGAGAGAGAGAGAGAGAGAGAGAGAGAGAGAGAGAGAGAGAGAGAGATACATACAGAGATAATATACACATGGAGACACAGAAATAACATGGATAAAGAAATACAGAAAGATAAGAGGATGGATAGAAGAATTAGACAAAGACTAAGAATATAAGAACGCAATTAAATATATTAAATCATACATAGTGAAAAAACGGTAAAAAAAATCGTGATATTATAAATATATGTGTTGCAGATGTGTATACATGATATAAATAAGTATACAGGGTGTATGTCTGAGTATTCAATAGGTGGATGTGTATGGATGGGGATTTATACAAGAAACAGAGGCTAGTTTCTTCATGCTAAAAATAAGTATGTTGATTTTTGTTTATTTCATCGTAATTCAATATACAAGATCGTTCTTTCATTGTTTTAGCGCCATGGACAACAATGACTTTCTATACATTTATATTATGATGAGAGTCAAGTAAAAATATATTTCCTTTGTGGGATTTATGGGACAAAATCAACTTAAGAGATAACAACAAGAAGTACTGTCAACAACTACTGAAGTCCTGCTGGTCGCCTCTCCTCCTGAACCACGAACCCCCGAGAGATTCAGACTCGTGAACCCGAAGCATTTATGGACAGAATAATGTATCAGTCTACTGCTTCGGGTTCATGAGTCTGAATCTCTCGGGGGTTCGTGGTTCAGGAGGGGAGGCGAATGGACTTTATTATTTGACTATAGTACAAGAGCTGGTTCAAGTCTACACCCTGGCGAGACGGATATCAATATTCCTCCTCCATACGGGGTGAAGGTAAGGTTCCCGCCACTGTTGAATACTGGGTGTGTGAGAAGGTACGAGAGATGCTGGAAGTGGGAAGGGGAGGGACGGGTGGGAGAGGTGGGAGAGGTAGGAACGGGTGCCACAGGGCGATGGTTGGGTGACAAGGTTCAGCTAAACCATTCACTACCACGTGGACAGATATATCCACTCAAGCTGATATACGGAAGTCATTTTTATGGTCATCAGCTCCAGGTTAAAGATTGTCTTAGAGAGCATGTGTTTTAATTAAGCAATGACATTTAGGATTATCAAGATGAGTTAGTTTCTACTACTATATACGGCTTTAAATGTAATCAAAACAACATGTGTATCCCCAAACAACACCCGTAATAAAAACCAACCAACACGTATAATCAAAACTACCAACACTTGTATCAAGGTGAGATACTTTCTACTACTATTTACGTCTTTAAATGCACTCCTTATGCATGTAGTTTATTCATTAACCTGTACAGTCAGCATCAAAATGTATATTATCTGTTTTTTTGTTCAGCTGGTGATATACACTATTAATGTGTGTGTGTGTGTGTGTGTGTGTGTGTGTGTGTGTGTGTGTTTCTCCAGTCTTTATCTAGCGTGTGGATATGTGTTTATGTGCGAGCGTCAACTATACAGTATGTAATTGCCAAGTGTGAATACAAATTAAAGAAGAACAATATATTTCCTCTCCTCCAGAAGACTAAGAGAAGCCGCCATCTTCAACCTATATCAAACTCCATAAAATCTCCCGAAATTCTGATGGGGAGAAAACAGAATCTTTTACAAACATAAGTAACATCATTGATTCCCTTTACATCTTTAATCCTCTAAATAGAACACAAAGAAGCTATTGGAATCCACATCTGATGACTCCCAATAAGAACCTTGAGCACTGTACCCAGCCTGATGTGCAATAGTTAACTGGCTCTGCTGTTGATCTCTGTACTGTATCTTCAGGAATAGAAACATGGCTGGGACTGAAGATGGAAGGGTTGGTGGTGTGTCTCTCGCCAGCCAGCAGGTAAGACCAGGTATGGTAGGGTGGTGAATAAGACAACAGACGCCAGCTGCCACTGTTCTTGAGTCGGTGAATAATGGAGGGAGGTACAGCGGCCTTACCCAGACATGACCTCCTCCTCCTTGTTGTCTCTGTGTGAGGTCAGTGTGTGTGTGTGTGTACAGTACATCGAAAGTGTAGAAGCATTTCTTTGAGGGAGTTTTGATGCTTTAAAGAGAGGTCTAATAATAGTGGTGGTGAGGCAGGTATACAGTTCAGGATGTATAGAGATAATACAGGTATACACTTCAATATGTACATATACAATATAGGTATAAAGCTCAGCATGTATAAAGATAATACACCCCTTCACCCCTTCCACCCCTTACACTCCTCACCCCTTACACTCCTCACCCCTTACTCTCCTCACCCCCTATTCCTCTCACCCCTTACTCTCCTCACCCCTCACCTGGACGGCGAACACTCCCCAGCCGGTAGCACTGGCGGAGGGTGACTGAGACACCACGTCATCGAGGTTCCTGACGGTGGTGCCCAGGTAACAGTTGAGCACCTGTGTGGGCAACAGACCTACCACTGTCGCCGCCAGATACAACCACGTCGGTACTCGTGACACCTGCAGGAGGAAGAACAAGTGTGTGTGTAGTTATAGGGTGAATGATGCGTGGAGTAGGTTAAAGGTTATGTTATGTTAGGTTATGTTAGGTTCACAAATAGATGGTATCGAGAAGGGAAAAATATTAAACCCTTCAGTGTGATGTCGACCACCTGAGAACATTAGCGTGATCCGTGAGTCAGAGAACAGACTCCTCCTAACCTCAGGTGTGTGATGGCTCGTGACTACACCTGACATTTGGGGTCTCTGAATGATGCACAATGGTGGTGATCTGAGAAAGGAGGAGGAGGAGGAGGGAGGAGGAGGAGGAGGAGGGAGGGGAGGAGGAGGAGGAGGAGGAGAGGAGGAGGAGAGGCAGGAGGAGGAGGGAGGGAGGAGGAGGAGGAGTAAGGGAGGAGGAGAGGAGGAGGAGGAGAGGGAGGGAGGAGGAGGAGGTAGGGAGGAGGGGGAGGAGGAGGAGAGGAGGAGGAGGAGGAGGAGGGAGGGGAGGAGGAGGAGGAGGAGGAGGAGGAGGAGAGGAGGACGAGGAGGAGGAGGAGGAGGAGGAGGAGGAGGAGGAGGAGGAGGTTGGAAGGAGTGAGAGGGGATGAGTAGTGAAATGAATAGGAGAGGTAGTAAGGCGGATGTGAGAGAGAGAGAGAGAGAGAGAGAGAGAGAGAGAGAGAGAGAGATTTTATCAAGATAAGTAAGATAAAATACAGCATTTTCGTGGGACAATCATAGTATTCAGGAATTAATATTCACTTCTCATTTCTTCTTCTAAATTACAGGTGTACACATGTCTCTTACCCCCCTTCCTTCCCCACAAAATCACAGGTAGTCACACACACCATTGATCTTCCCCACAAACACATACAAGGTAATCAACACAATTTCTTACTATGGCAGGTGCAAAGAAGCCAGTTTACCATGTCCCTCTTCCTCACTACCTCTCAAACTCATTATCAAGTCTATTTTCCCATTAATTTGTTTACCTTACCTCCTGACCTTTGGAAATAGATAAAAAAAATAATGGTTCTGAGAAACGTAAGATGGAAACAACGAGAGATATGTTGTGGTAGTGATGGTGCGCGGGTCACCTAGGGTTCAGGATTGTTTTAACCCTTTGAGTACTGGAGGTTCAAATCATCGTCTTCGAAGGGTTAAACCATAGTCGCCCTCAAAGGATAAAACAATCGACCTTAAAGGGTTAAGCAATCGTCCTCAAAGGGTTAAACAATCGTCCTCAAAGGGTTAAACAGTAGTTCTGAAAGGGTTAAGCCATAGTCCTCAAAGGGATAAATCAACGTCCTCAAAGGGTTCAACCACTGTCCTCAAAGGGTCAAACTAGCGTCCTCAAAGATTACCGAGTCAAAGCAATTAAGTCCCTCCTCTCTTCCCCCCACCAGGCAACACTCTATACCATTATATTAACATTAAGTCCTAATACATTATCTCAAATGCATTCCAAAACAACTCTCTAAAAGGTTCAGATGCTGTTAAGGCGGGAAAACTAATTTGTATATAATTATCACTTTTTATTTTTATTATTTTTTACATCTTGGTTCAATTTTCTGTTTGATTTTCGTCCACTGACTCACCGAGGAAGAACCTTTACCTGCTGCCAAGGTGTTTAATGTCTGTTGTATCAAAAATGTATGTGATGAGGTATTGTTCCTGCACACACACACACACACACACACACACACACACACACACACACACACACACACACACACACACACACACACACACACACACACACACACACGAAGTTTACTCTATCTCGAAAATCGTTCTTCGTGGTGAATAATTTACACAAAAGTGAATTTCGATGTGTATATACCCACGGCCCCTGCATGGAGCCTACAGGATGTGTTGTGGCCACGGAAGCAGCAGCAGTATGGATGTATTGAGCGGAGGTACAGCTGAATACCTATGATGTTCATTGGCAAAGTTACCTGTAGTGGGAGGTGGTGTAAATTACGTTTATAGAAAGGCTACTAGATACGCCTTATACATCTCTCTCTCTCTCTCTCTCTCTCTCACTATCTATATATCTATACATCGATCTGTCTTTCTATGTCCTATGCCCAACATCATCCCACAACCTACACAGGTACCAGTAGATTACACCTGACTCACCTGTGTACAAGGGCTACCTGAGTCTCGTGATTTATTTACCTATGGCTAATGATTTCCTATAGTTTTGTTGATCAGCGAGACGGGATGAGGAAGGGAAGGAAGGAAGGAAGAGGGGGGGGGGACAGGGGAGTGGAGGGAAGAAAGAGGAGGGGCAGAAAGAAGAGGAGGGGCAGAAAGAAGTGAGGGTGAGAAAGAGGAACGAAACCTAACCTAACCTAAATAGAATATAACCCAAACACAGGTAAGGTTATATTCATGCCATCATTCACGCATGATATACTACAATAGTCTCCCAGGTACACACACACACTCCACCACCAACACTTAGCACTTCACAGTTTGCATGTTTCGTGGGTCTGTGTATAGGAAAATTCGCCTTTTTTTAAAAAACTGGAGATTCGAAAAAAAAATGAAAGCGCATATCTCGCCGCCATATAGCAGGGTGGGGAGGACCATTGCTCGATATACGTGCAACTTTGTAGATAATTTCCGCTCCCTACAGTTAAAGACACGGGTTACGGAGTCTGCCAAAGGCTTGAGATCCATATCTGATCTGATGTTGAATCTCTTCATCGATGTCCGCGATGGTGGACAGGTGGGAGCCAAGATAATGAAAGTGGGTAACATTAGAGAGGGTAGTACCATTAAGCTGGATGGATGGTGGAGGTGTGGCTGAACCAGGGGCAGGCTGAAAAAGAATCTAAGTCTTACGTGCATTCACCTCAAAAGCGACACCACCTGTAATAAAAAGTAACAACGCCTGTATTAAAAAACACCATCACCTGTACTAAAAACCACCAACATATGTACTGAAAAACACCAACGTCTGTCATAAAAAGCAACACACACACACACACACACACACACACACACACACACACACACACACACACACACACGTCTCCCTTGAACTTCAGAAACAACACCTTTATGATGGGATCGTGTTTTTGTCAGTACTGGATGGTGACGTGTTGTACTGTACCTGCCCCAGCCTGCACCTGCCAACAATTAAACACCTTTTTCTGTCGTCAATATCGTTCCCTCCATGGCAACACTAGGAAAAAAACGTGATTGTTTAAATGAGCCTCAGTCCTATTTAACCTTAACCCTAGTGGATTAACTCAACCTAAACCTGTAAATAGACAAATTAAACCAGTACAGTATCTAATGACACCTTAATTAGATACGGATTCATATGTCCATTACAATAATAAACAAAACGGAGCTGATTAGCCGTCATTACGAAAGACTATCAATTGATCTTGGTGAAGTCGAGTTGCTTATTCATGTCGCTGTCCGTCCGTCGGTCTGTTAGTATACGTATTGATAAGTAGTGTCCTTGTGATAAGCAGATTTCTATTGAATATTTTACAACCAAATTTCTTGCCTCGGTTTCATTTACATTGTTGACGAGTCCTATTGATTGTAATGTAGATCGGAGGAAAAGAAGTTAGTGTTAATATAGAGTTCTAATTAGTGTGGTATTATTCGCCTGGCGTTCGGTATTTGTTTTCTGGTCAAGTTTGTCTATATGCTTAAGTTTGTTGTCTCGATTGTGTGTTGATTTTCAGCCACTTTTGTTAGTTTTTGTTGTTTACCTTGATTATATAAACTATTGTGTGGCTTAGTTGTTATAATTTAGTTTTTTGAAATTTTTTGTTTGTTTGTAGGACTGTTAAGTATTGTTTGTAGTTGTTTAGCTTTGTCAGTAGTGTTTATAGTAATGCTTATGCTACTCTTTGGGTTTTGTTTACAGGGTCGGGTGTATTTGTTTGTAAATATTTTATAAGTTCATATGAGTTGTTTTTACAGTGAAACCTCCACATAATGGACTTCTCACACATAACGGACCCTCAATATAACGGATTTTCATATCTATATAGTTCATTAGATGGAGATTTCATATATAAAGGTTACCTCGATATAACGGACTTACCACTCTCTTTATAATCCGTAAAATAGAGGTCTCACTGTCCTTTTTCGTTGTTTTATATAGTATTTGCAAAGTTGCTGAAATTACTTGCAAGAACCTTTTGTGTGAAGTTATTCTGTGTGTGTGTGTGTGTGTGTGTGTGTGTGTGTGTGTTTGGCCGCGTGATGCCATAGGTAGGTTGCCTCGATACCGCTGTAGTCAACAACACAACAGTATCTGTGTCTATCGCTGACTGACCATATATAACACAACACTGACTGACTATATAACGCAACACTGACTGGTTGTATACGCACCCTCCCTCTCCCCAGCATTGAGTAGTGACATTTAAACCTTGCCTTCTCGCTCTTCCTGGTGCGGCAGTGTTCATACGTACACACACACACACACACACACACACACACACACACACACACACACACAGCCTTCCGAGTGCCATGCTCTTTCAATAAGCCGTTAATTATTGTTATTATTATTATGACACACACACACACACGAAAAGCTTGTTATAAACTACTTAACACTTTATCAACATAATTTTGTTTTTTTAATAGACTGTTGTGTATAAGTGTGTCATGATGCTTATAAACCGCCTGAGCTATAACATGGTGAACCAAAGTAAGTATTAAGAACATGTTTAACAAACACTACGAACCTTTTATATCTTAGAGCTGCTGTGAGGGAACGTGCGTAGTGAACGTGCGTAGTGAAGGTAGAATCTCAGGTAATGGTATTCTATTTTGGAGTGTGTGTGTGTGTGTGTAAATTTATAAGCTAATACCTAGGTGAATCTCTAGAGTGCAAACAAACAAATAAACAAACAAACAAAACAGAAGATATATTATGACACTTGGTAAACACTGAGAAACATAAACAGCCTTCACAGTATAAGCACGGAGGAGTAACGCCAACACACACCGTCACGCGAACCAATACCATGAGACATAAATTATAAAATGAGAGGAAGAAAGTGATGTCACACACATCACTTAACATCAGGAATATGAAGTGATGTCAGGAATAGAATATGACATCAAAAATACCAAGGGATATCAAACATACACAGAGACACATGTCATATATGAACTGATATCAGGAATAGTAAATGACATCAAGAATAACATAGTCGACATCAAGGACATCGAACACACGCATCAATCATGCTAGAAATAACCCAACATGTTGCCTGAAATAGCAACAAAAGACACAATCACGCCACTGCTAAAGAAGTAGAAACAGAAGGAGCCGTCAAAACCATACTGCAGGGGATGTCAAAGGCTGTGTAAGGTGCCTGGAGGAGGTGAACTAAATTCATACATTATTTCACTCTGCCTATGTGACCTTTGAGTGATGGTGCCTGTCTTTGTTATCGGTCCTTCGATCTGGGTGCACCGCGCTCTATTGTGAGTAGGAACGAGTGAGTCAGAGACGGGAAGAAGACGTGAGAGAGAGAGAGAGAGAGATTACGCTTCCCTGCTGACGCCGATAAACCCTATTGGCCTAAGTCCTGACATAGTTAAGTATTATAGTACCTCATACACCGACGTCCACTCATCTCTTTTCCTCCCCTTCAACTCTCCCACTTCCATCACCTGCTCACCTGTCTCTCCACACTTGACTAAGGGATCGTCAGGTATGCATATACACTCACCTGGCATTTAAGGTCGCCAAAGGTCCCTCACCGAGAATCAATACACGTTAACTCAGTGTGTGTGTGTGTGTGTGTTGTGTGTGTGTGTGTGTGTGTGTGTGTGTGTGTGTGTGTGTGTGTGTGTGTGTGTGTGTGTGTGTGTGTGTGTGTGTGTGTGTGTGTGTGTGTGTGTGTGTGTGTGTGTGTGTGTGTGTGTGTGTGTGTGTGTGTGTGTGTGTGTGTGTGTGGTTTAAACCGGCAAGGTTCACCACCAAGTACAAAAATCTATATTAGTATGAATTATCTTCAGAAGGGGGAAGGGAGGAGAGGGAGGGATGTAGAAGGGGGAGAGGAAGTGAGGGGGGAAGGGGTGGGGAGAGGAAGGGGTGAGGGTGAGGGGAGGAAGGGGTGAGGGGGAGGGAGGAGAGGGGGAGGAAGGGGTGAGGGGAGGGAGGGGTGGAGGGGAGGGAGGAGGGGGGGAGGAAGGGGTGAGGGGGAGGGGAGGGAGGGGTGAGGGGGAGGAAGGGGTGAGGGGGGAGGGAGGGGAGGGGTGAAGGGGGGAGGGGGGAGGGGTGAGGGGGAGGAGGGGGTGAGGGGGAGGAAGGGGTGAGGGGGGAGGAGGGGTGAGGGGGGGGGGGAGGGGGTGGAGGGAGGGGAGGGAGGGGAGGGGAGGAGGGAGGGAGGGAGGGAGGGGAGGGGGAGGGGAGGGGAGGAAAGGGGGAGGGGGGGAGGGGAGGGGGAGGGGAGGAGGGAGGGGTGAGGGGGAGGGGGGTGAGGGGGAGAGAGGGGTGAGGAGAGGGAGGGGTGAGGGGAGGGGGTGAGGGGGAGGGGGGAGGAGGAGGGAGGGGTGAGGAGGAGGGAGGGGTGGGGAAAGAGAGGGAGGGAGGGGTGAGGAGGAGGAAGGAGGAGAGGGAGGAAGAGGTGAGGGGAGGAAAGGGTGGGGGAGGGAGGGGAGGGGGAGGAGGGTGAGGGGAGGGAGGGGTGAGGAGGAGGGAGGGGGGAGGGGGAGGGGAGGGGTGAGGAGGAGGAAGGAGGAGAGGGAGGAAGAGGAGGGGGAGGAAGAGGGGGAGGAGGGGAAGGGGGGGGGGAAGGGTCAGGGGGGAGGGAGGGGGGGAGAGGAGGGGGAGGGGGAGGGAGGGAGGAGGGGAGGAGGAGGGGAAGGAGGAGAGGGAGGAAGAGGTGAGGGGAGGAAGGGTGAGGGGAGGAAAGGGTCAGGGGGGGGAGGGGTGAGGGGAGGAAAGGGTGAGGGGGGAGGGAGGGAGGAGGAGGGAGGGGTGAGGAGGAGGGAGGGGTGAAGAGGAGGAAGGAGTGAGAGGGAGGAAAGGGTGAGGGGGGGAGGGGTGACGGAGGGCGGGTGGGGAGGAAGGAGGGGTGGGGAGAGGGGGAGGTGAGGGGCAGGACAAGGTACAGGCCACAATACAGTAAGTCTTGTCGCTGCTGTGTCCTGGAGGTTGCTGGCCTCGAGTTATACCTTGTGCTCCGGTATAAGTGTGACACAAGTACAGGTCACATACAAGGTTCTGTCGCCTCTCCTCCTGAACCACGGATCCCTGGACTGACACTCGTGAATCTGAAGCATATATGGACAGAATAATGTATCAGTCTACTGCTTCGGGTTCACGAGTCTGAATCTTGTGGTTCGTGGAGCAGCAGGAGAGGCGACACACACATGATATATTATCACCAACAAGTGGTATTTTCTCGTCCTTGAGGAAGCTGTCGGCTCCCACCACCGCTGTACAGTAGTGTCTGAAATTCTCCGTCTGTGTGTCTGTGTATCACTATCAAGGTGACCTTGCATTGTGCAGTATATACCTTGTCAAACACGCACGCACATGTGAACAGACATGTGTGTGTGTGTGTGTGAGTTTAATACAGGCTTAATGAATATGCTGGATAAATCTATACCAACGTGATGACACAATTATGATAATACTTGTGATGAACGACACTTATTACCTCTTCAAAGATGCACAATAATGTCTAGTTACGTACGATAATTATCACTGAAGAAGATAAAATGACGTACAGTAATACAGATGATGTTCGGTAATTACTAGACACTCAGGAAAAGTGACCCTTGGAAATATAGGGTAATGGTGTACAACAATAGTTAAAGGGGTACGATGCAATAGCTAACGCGCCATAATTCCTTTGATGCTCATTAATAATTCATTAATGACATTGTGATACGAAAATGCCTGATGATGACTCTGAAAAATAAAATAGAGTAATGGGTTATAATTATTTACTAACTCACTAACCCGTTTGTTTATACAGTACACACGATAATTGTTGTATTTACAGCGGTGACACAACACTTTGCCGATGAACGATAATCATCAAGAGTGCACGATAATGTTAGAAGGTCTTAGGACACTCTTTGAGCCAGTGACGTGTATTAGGTACTCACAGCGAAGACAGCGTTCTGGAGGCCGAATGGTATAGGCGTGAGGCGGGTGACGAACACTACCTTGAAGGCTTGAGGACCTCCCAGCACCGCCAGCAGCGCCCGTAGCAGTCGTGACGTCACAACTCGACGGTGTACAACCTGCACGAACGACAAATGAAACGGATTAATAATAATGATAATAATAATAATAATAATAATAATAATAATAATAATAATGCCATGGTGAGGGGTGAGGCGCCACAGTGTGATGAAACACAAGCACTGAAGGTCATGTGATTGTACATAACTTCACTACGTCATTCCACCTCCTTTGTTTCCCTGTAAATGGTGTCATGTTACCACACAGACCAGAGATAATTGCCGTAACAAAACTACAAACAAAACTGTGGATGTTTTTTGGCTGATAAGAAAAGAGGGGCGTTGTCTGCCGCTCTGTGTTGACCGGGATGGTACACTGAAGTGACATTTGAGCTACATAAAGGAAGAATAAATTCGATTTTGATGAAACAATTGACAATAAGGTGTGTATGTATGCGCGCGTGTGTGTGTGTGTGTGTGCGTGTGCGTGGGTGTGTCCGTCAACACACACCCAGGAACGACGCTACGTCATAATTTTACAGAGATCATAAGTCCAAATGATTTTATATTTTTCAGACATTGACAGCTATATCAGTATATCAGCTATGGCGGTTATGACGGTTATGTCGGTTATGACGGTTATGTCGGTTTTGACGGTTATGTCGGTTATGACGGTTAATGACGGGTATCTTGTTCACTGACCCACTGACGCCATCTCTCTTCAAGCCGATATCGTGTGCTTCTTGAGGCTCATACTATTGACAAAATTCAGAATAATTTAACAGCAAGAATCCAGATGAATTAACAAAAACTAGATTATAATTTATATTAACTCAAATTATAAATAAAACATGACTAACAAGAAAATAAGTGATCTTAAAGTTCATGGAAAGATTAAAGGTAACTGGTGATGTAATTAACACTCAACACCTGTGCTGGATCCCATACTAACACCTGTACTGAGCTAACTACTGAGCCTTACTAACACCTGTACTGTACCCCACACGAACACCTGTACTGGACCCCACACTAACACCTGTACTGGACCCCACACTAACACCTGTACTGTACCCACACTAACACCTGTATACGACCCCACTGTACTATTACTGGGATACACTAACACCTGTACTGGACCCCACACACTAACACCTGTACTGGACCCCACACTAACACCTGTGTGTAATTTTCTGCCCTGTGCTGTACCCACACTAACACCTGTGCTTGACCCCTGCTTACCTGTACTATGCCACACGACATACTGGACCCCCACACCTTTGGATTCCTTTTATGCCCCACACACTAACACACCTGTATGACCCCACACTAACACCTGTACTGGACCCCACACACACCTGCTGGACCCCACACCTTACCTGTATACTGGACCCCACACTAACACCTGTGCAGACCCCACACTAACACACCTGTGCACACACACACACTTACCTGTACTTTGACCCCACACTAACACCTGTACTGGACCCCACCCCTGTACTGGACCCCACACTAACACCTGTACTGTGCCCACACTAACACCTGTGCTTGACCCCACAACACACCTGTGCTGGACCCCACACTAACACCTGTACTGTACCCCACACTAACACCTGTACTTGACCCCACACTAACACCTGTACTTGACCCCACACTAACACCTGTACTGGACCCCACACTAACACCATGGGCCTCCAGGTGCTGAGAGATACAGGTTGTAAAGAAATAATGTCTTGTGTTTTTAAGTATATATTGATTACTGTTGGCAGGTGAGGTGTAGTGGTAGTACATCACGTTAAGGGACCCAACCACGTTATTTATTCACGTTAAGGGACCCAACCACGTTATTTATTCACGTTAAGGGACCCAACCACGTTATTTATTCACTTTAAATGATCCAACCACGTTATTTATTCACTTTAAATGACCCAACCACGTTATTTGTTCACTTTAAATGACCCAACCACGTTATTTGTTCACTTTAAATGACCCAACCACGTTATTTGTTCACGTTAAATGACCCAACCACGTTATTTATTCACGTTAAGGGACCCAACCACTCGTTAACATTAGGGTGGTTAAGCTTCAGGTAAAATAAGCTGGAGTGTCAAATCATCAGGTGTTCAGAAGGGTAGAGAGTGTTAGACCGCGAGAGGTGTGAGTAAGGACCAGCGGTGATATATACACAGGTTAATAATGCATGGTACTGTTTGCCTCCAATCAATGACGCGAAGCTTCTACAGCCACCACCGTCACCAACAGTCTGTGCGGTGTATTGTTATAAACCTGGGGTCATCATCATCATCATCATCATCATCATCATCAAAATCATCATCATCATCATCATCATCATCATCATCATCATCATCAAAATCATCATCATCAAAATCATCATCATCATCATCATCATCAAAATCATCATCATCAAAATCATCATCATCATCATCATCATCATCATCATCATCATTATTATTATTATTCATTAATTGTAATATAACATAATTTAACTCAAGCTAACTTAATATAACTGGCCATACCTAAGATAAGGTCATTTAACCTAATCTAACCTTAGTTAACCCAACGTACCCTAACCTAACTTAATCTAATTCTATATTAATGTAGCCTATTATAACCTAATCGATTCTACATTAAACTATAGTCTAACTTAACCTAACCTATAACGTTAATGTACCTTGGGAGATATTCTTATAATATTTAAGCAAATATTTACGTTCTAGAAATATTTGAAATACTTGATAATTAGTGTTAAAGTCTCAATATACCTGTGCTAATTAGGTTGAGGTGTTGATGATTGTACCTGGTAATTATTCACAATACCTGTTAACTGTCACACACACACACACACACACACACACACACACACACACACACACACACATGACGTGGCTGTAATGTTAGAATATTAATATTGTTTATCGTTTTTGGGTAAAGAGAACTAGATTGAGGTGGATGAACTCATGTAAAAGAGAGTGACTGACAAACACACGTACGCATATATACATCCATACACACACAGACACACACACACACACACACACAGACACACAACACACAATGACTGGCTGTAATTTAGAATATTAATATTGTTTATCGTTTTGGGTAAAAGAACTAGATTGAGGTGGATGAGCATGTAAAAGAAGTGACTGACAAACACGTACGCATATATACATCCATACACACACAGACACACACACAGACACACACAGGTACAGTAAATATAAACTGACACAGACAGAAAGAACTACGTACCTCTCACAAACAAATAAATGACAGTAAAGACAGACAGACAGACAGACAGACAGACAGACAGACAGGGCTATACATACCTCCCTGAGACAGACGCGTATGAGGATGTGAGCAAGGAAGACTCCAGCAGTGGCTGTAGAGAGAGTGACAGCCAGCCCTCTCCAGGTGCCGAACATATACCCGGCTGAGACGTTCACTACGATGTACCCCCACGAACGAAGGCTGAGGGGAGAGAACGTCGCAGGAGTGAGAGGTGGGAGGGGAGAGAACGCCTGAGGGTGGGTAGTGAAGGAAAGAACGCTGAGGGGAGAGAACGGTCGGTGAGTGAGAGGTGGTGAGGGGAGAGAACGGCTGAGGGTGGGTAGTAAGGAAAGAACGGCTGAGGGAGAGAACGGTCGGTGAGTGAGAGGTGGGTGGAGGGGAGAGAACGCCTGAGGGTGGGTAGTGAAGGAAAGAACGGCTGAGGGAACGGTCGGTGAGTGAGAGGTGGTGAGGGAGAACGGCTGAGGGGGGGGGTAGTAAAGGAAAGAACGGCTGAGGGAGGAGGAACGGTCGGTGAGTGAGAGGTGGCGAGGGGAGAGAACGGCTGAGGGGGGGGTGGAAGGAAAGAACGGCTGAGGGGAGAGAACGGTCGGTGAGGAGAGGTGGTGAGGAGAGAACGGCTGAGGGGGGTAGTGAAGGAAAGAACGGCTGAGGGGAGAGAACGGTCGGTGAGGAGAGGTGTGAGGGGAGGACGCCTGAGGGGAGAGGTGGTGAGTGAGAGGTGGTGAGGGGAGAGAACGGCTGAGGGGGGGGTAGTGAAGGGAAAGAAGCAGGAGGGGAGAGAACGGTCGGTGAGTGAGAGGTGGTGAGGGAAAGAACGGCTGAGGGAGAGGTGGTGAGGCTGAGGAGAGAACTGAGAGTGAGAAATTATGAAGGAAAAGAACGGCTGGGGGAGAACGGCTGAGGGGGGAGAACGGTCGGTGAGAGATGATAAGTGAAAGCTAGGAGGATGACGTTAGGTTAAGTTCGCTTACATTACATTGTATTAAGTTAAGTAAGGTTAAATTTGGTTAAGTTCTACATGTAATTGAGTTTGATTATTTATCCGAATCCTTAGAATATTATCCGGTTTGAAGCCTAACTCCTGTCCGGATCTTTAAAATAGACCGTTCACCACCACACCGTAGACGAACTTCACGTGAACACACAGGCTCGCCATCTTGGTCTTATATACACGAGAAAACTATTAACAAGTCATAATGGTCTAACGTAGTGTTGGTCGGGAGAAAGTGTTCGGTTTATCATGTTCCACAGACCACAGGTGAAGTAACCAAGGTGTCATTTCAGTTTTAAGTTTTTCAGCCAACAATCTTTTCACATCCTATCCGACGTCGAATCTAGGTCGTAGTGGCAAGAGACGAGGATTTTATTCGTCCCGTTAATAATATTAAATGGGAAAACGTGAAACTTTTTGACGATGAACAAAACAAATGAGCAAATGTTCCTCGTAGCTTGAACATGTGACGTCAGTAAACATCAGTGAAGAGTCAGTAAACATCAGTTAACTTCACTGTCTGGAAACATTCCCTAAATATAACATCCTCTACACTGCCACCCACAACTGTAAAGACTGGCACATTGTTCTCACCATCAGTCTACCACTTGCCAACGTTACTAACACACACACACACACCCTTAATTGACATGCCATTTAGCTCAGGACAGTAATGGACGGTGTTTTAGACGGGTGTTGAGGACACAGGCGGTCGAAGTATCAGGTTCAACTGTTAACTGTCTATATTTATAGCGGCTATCGTCTCTGCTTCAATAACTGTACCGAGCGTGTCCACACCACCATGAACTGAGAAAGACTTATCATTCACAATATATGTTTCCTGTATGAACTGACTTACTGTGTATGTGTGAAGGCTTTTAGTTTATGACAAGTGATCGCGGGCCCTTCGTGCCCAGTGAAAGTTTGAACGCTCGTGCTTGGCTAGCGTACAGCGAATGAGGGTGCGCCAAGTCCGTAGACTTGCATGGTTACTTAGGGTGCGCCAAGTCTGTAGACTTGCATCGTTTTCCATAGTAAATAAAATGGTTAATTAATGCCTTCCTAAAGAAACCATCGACATGGGACCAGGTTTGTTCCACTCAACGAATTTTTTGCGATTTTTCCACCAAGTTTGATGAAAAACGATTGTGCCGTTTCGGCTGCCCAGAACAGACACGCACACAGACAGACAGACAGACACACGGCTAGTCCTATAGTATATTAGAAGCAGTAGAAATATAATTATACATTATTATAAACATTATTAGGGTCTTGAGCTCCATCGCCACTCTGGTTTTCCGGCAACACTAAATCAATAATTGGATTGTAATAATGTATAAGTGTACTTATGCAACATTCTTCTGGACATGTGACTCCAACACACAATATCTGCGACTGAGACTTAACCTAACCTAACCTAACCTAATGAAACCCAGCATGCAGAAGAAATTTATTTACTATTTAAATTTTGTTATTGACAATATCTGAGCACTTCCTCCCAGTTCACAATAACAAAAGTACCGCCAAGAATGACTGTTCATCCTCAATTACTTCACTGTTCATCCACACCCTCGAGAACATTAGTGAACAGAATGATTGATGCTGTATGATGATGGGTGAAGGGGAAGGGGGAGGGAGGGAGGGAGGGGAGGGGGAGGATACAGTATATAAAAATAAATAATTCAGTCTTCTTAACATATACTTACCTATACTATATATCATTCATATATAAAGAAATCATTGAACAGTTATTATATTGTTATATCCAAGGCCTTCATGTTCATATATTAAGATACATCTACTCTGAAACCTCTATTTAACGAACTCAAGATAGAATTCCGTTATATCGAGTCCGTTAAATGTGAAACTTCCACCTAACGAACTATAAGGAGAGAGAAATCCGTTATATAGAGGTTTCACTATAATAAACAGACCCTGATATATGTTTTAGTATAGTGAACATGTAGAGAGCTGATCATTACAGTGTAGGTATAAACAAATAAATTACAGTAGTTAGGTTAAGATAGGTTAGGTTAGGAGTTGAGAATGGTTAGGTTAGGTTAGCTAGGTTAGGTTAGGTTAGGTTAGGTTAGGCTAGGTTAGGTTAGGTTAGGTTAGGTTAGGTTAGGTTAGGTCTTGGAATAAACAAATAAATTCATCAACAGGTTAAGTCAAGTCAGTTTAAGTCTCGGTATAAACAAATCAATTCACCATCAAGTTATACACAGACCTACACCATTGTTTACACGAGGCAGCATCGACCATCTATTCTCGGCCTAACTCAAGAAATAATACAAGTCTGTGATCTGCAACACACTTTATGGGATTATTTTTATGTAGTTCAGTTTATTGTGAGTTTATGGGGAATATATATAAATTATTTCAAACTGATAATTATGTTTTGCTGTTCTTTAATGTCTTAGAACGTAACTGATCATATCTTTCGAATGTGAGGAATTAATTTTTTAAAGTAAGTTAAAACAAAGAAAATAAGTGTGAAATAGTTAGATAATTAAATGATGATGAACAAAAAGAGTAAACGAGTAAATGAGAGAGAGAGAAAAAAAAAAAAAAAAAAAAAAAAAAAAAAAAGAGAGAGAGAGAGAGAGAGAGAGAGAGAGAGAGAGAGTTAAAGTAGATGGGTCCAGAATAGACGAGGAGGTAAGTCACCTATCTGCTATAATCGATTAGCAAAGACAGGTGAGTTACGAGGAGATAATCGCTGGGAGATATGTCAGACAGGTGGAGAAGAAGGAGAAGAAGAAGACACACACACACACACACACATAATAATATCTAATAATAATAATAATAATAATAACACCCATGACTCACCTACAGTAAACGCTCGTATAATTGACCTATGGTGACTATTTTAACAGTGTATAAGACAATGGTGCAAAATACTCTTATGTAAATGACTTATATGATGCTTGATACTAGAACAGATGAAAGGAATGTTAAACTCATTCGAAAAAAATTACTTTGACAGTTTAGAACAACAAGACTTCAAAATAACTTTATTCAACTTATTCATTTATATTTTTATTAGATGCAGATAATATTGTGTATTAATTTGCAAGTTATGTTAGAAATGTTTACGTTGACGGGTCAGAAATATTCAAGAGGAAAAGATGACCTTGTAATGTCTAATGTAAGGGAGAATATGTTGTATGTTTATGTATGTTGGAGCCATGGAGGGAGAATGTTGTATGCTGATGTTACATGGTGAAGGAAGAATGTATATTAACTCATATTTAAGAAAGATTAGTATATGTTTGTGTATATCTAAGGAGGAATGCGTCATATATCAATGTGTATATTGAAGGGGAACTATATGGACCACGAGTGAGAGCAAGAGTGAGTGAGTGAGTGTTTGGTGTGTTGAAGAGGATGTACCCACGTCTGAACTCCTAGTTTAAGAGCGCGCCTAAAAGTGTGTGGCTGGGCTGTTGTTGTTATTGTTTGTTTTTTAAAGTGTCCCCTGAATTCACTTATTGTTCCTCAGGTTTTTTTTAGGTTTGTTTTTGTCTTTGTGAGGTAAAATAAAAGTAGTTGTGGGTTGGTTTTGTATAGAGTGTCTGAGTGTCTGGTGGGAGGAGTGAGAGGTGTAACAGATACTTTTATCTCTCTCTCTCTCTCTCTCTCTCTCTCTCTCTCATATATTTTTTCTTTCTGCATTATGTACAGGTATGTACTGTATTAAATGTACTACTAGGAATGTACTCTATCAAGTGGACTCGAAGACAATACATTTTAAAATGTACGAAACCTAATCTAACCTAATTTTTTTCTTCACACCTGTCAACTAATGTCTTATATATACAGGTAGATTGAGGATGCTTGTCCTTGTTGATAGCAGTAGTAATAGCAGTAGTTGTGCTGCACACAGGAGGAACGAGAACGACAAGATAAGGGCATATGGGGAGAGAATTCAGAACGTTGATCAAGGCAGCTTCACTCCTCTAGTGTTCACAACCTCTGGTGGGATGGGACCAAGTGCAAGATGCTTCTACGCCAGACTCGCGGAGGTGATCTCCGAACAGAAGCAGCAGCAGAAGTTATGTTACAGCCTGGATGAGATGTCGACTGTCTTTCTCTCTCCTTCGGTCGGCTTTGCTCTGCCTCAGGGGAACGAGAGCTTCTGCCCTACTCCGACAACTGCTGCAGATATTGACTAT